ACACTACACACAATATACATACATACATACATACATACACACACTACACACAATACATACATACATACACACATACACACACACAATACATGCATACATACATGCATGCATACATACATACATACATACATACATACATACATACATACATACATACATACATACATACATACATACATACATACATACATACATGTTTCCTTGCTTGCTTATTTTTGTGTACATGGGAGTGCATGCCAGGGTACACATGCACTTTGTGGAGCAACAAGACAACTTTGTGGAGTCCATTCTCTTCTCCCACCTCGATATGGGTTCTAGGGATTGAACTCAGGTCATTAGGCATGTATCTTTGGGCTGCGAGTGCCTGTAGCTACTGAGTCATCAACACTAGCCTTACAGCAGCTTTGAAAACAAAACAAAACAAACTTAGATGTTTACTTCAAAATGGATCTTGTTCCAAATAGCTGAAGTATTGCCAGTTTCAAAACTTTTATATACTTTTTTTTGTTTTCCCTATTATATTCAAGTCATAAAACACTTAAGGAAAATATTGCTGGCAGCTTTGTTCCCTGTTTGCCTGTGTTAGTTTCATTGTACAGGTATCATACATTTATTGTCAAGATTGGAAAAACGGCAGGTGTTTTGTTTATTTTTACCTTTCCACTTGTTGCTGAATGCCAACACACCACTGTGCTAATTAATTACTACTTATATCTTAATGATGCCTGTATTCAATTAGCTCCAACTAGTAAATAATAAATAGTGGCTTTTGTAACTACACAGTGAGTTGCTTAGGCTATAATTTCTAGTGTGTTGGCATGTAGTAGTTTCTCTGCAAGAGTGAGTGCCTTTTAGCCATGAATATAATGGATTTGTGATGCAAGGCTTTCTGTCATACATGTTCTTCCTTGCAGTAATCTGGGGAATAATAATCCTCTATTGATTGCAACTTTATTACATAGGCATATGCTTAATTTTCCATAAAGTAAAGCAGTGCTTGAAAAGTTTTCCATTCTGTGATGGGAAGAATGATAGCGTCTGTTCTGCTACTGAAGACCTCTGTGTAGTATGACTAGCCATCTACTTGAGACCCGTAGATGTCCCGATTGCAATCTTCACTGTAAGTTGACATTTAGAAGGTCCAGCAGGCTTTTGAAGAGGCTGGGAACACTATTCAGAACGAAGTCTCATACCATGGAAAGAAAATAGAGCTGGGACATTCAGAAAGTTCTTGCCAGGTTTTGTTTGAAAACCTTAGGATTTGGCTCTGAAGATGGGAGGACTAGCACAGCATGCAAGGTTGAGGGACATGAGAAAGAGCAGCAAGTGCCGTGGGTTTCAGTGCTGTAAAGTAGAGCCCTACTGGTAGGAGTTAAGGGGCAGCCTGGAATCCAGCTTTAAAATTCAGTTTTCTAGAGAAGTTCACTTATGTTTGTGTGGTTCTAGAGGTCAAGGGAGCAAAAACTCCCTTAAAAAGAGAACTTCTGACATGCATGAAAATACTCAGATTATAGTATCAATGAGAAGACTAATTTACCTAGAAAATTATAGAGCAATTGCCAGTGGTTGCATGAACTCTTTGTAAGTATGTGACTGTGATGATCCTAGAGTTCCTGTCTTTTGGGAGATAGACCCCATGGAAAGTTGGGTATAACTAAATTGAACTGAAATCTGGTGTGGGGAGCCTGAGTGCTCTCTGATTCACAGCCTTGAGCCCTGGCCTGGAACTTGTGCTTTACTCACCTGTGGGGTAGAGAGCAAGGAAAGGGAGAAAAGTGGGTCTCACAGCCATGGGGAGACCAGGTGTCCACACTGAGAAAATGGTCAGCCTTTACTAGGAATGACAACCTGAAAAGATCTTTTAGACGAGATCACCGAATTTTACTTCAAGGTCATATAATGGTGTAGTGAGACAGTTGAGTTATTGACTGCAGGTAGCTGTTGTTGTTATACCTACCAGTTAGAATCCTCAGGCTCCATGCCAGGTGTTTATTTATGAACCTAACTTTTACTGTCACCTTCAAAGACTTCTCATTACTCAGGCGGCACAGCAGCCTCAGGCAGTACATTAAGTTGCTTAGGACTACAGATGAGCTCTCTTGGCTTCAAAGTGCTAGTTCATTCTTTGAAACAAGGCAGTCGGCAAGCAAGGGCTTCAGCATAGATTTAGCATGAGTGTTCTTACAGGCGTTTCAGGAAAAGAAGAAATTAGTATGAAAATGATAGAGACGAGCAAGAGTGAGTGACTACCATTTTTTCTTACAGTCATTCTTGATGGCTGTCAAGAGGTCTGTTCTCCTTTAACCCTATCCCTTGGAAGATAGAACCAGGTGGATCTCTGAGTTAGAGACCAGTCTGGCCTACAGAGTGAGTTCTAGGACAGCCAGGGCTACACAGAGAAACCCCGCCTTGAAAAACAACAAATTAGTTAAACATTAGACTTATTGTTTATGAATAAGCCACAGTGTAGAAGCTCAGGGAGTAGAGTAGAACTTCAGGTTATAAAAAGACTAGTTTTGCTGTGAATGTAAGTAGTTCCAACATATATGTTTGCAATGAAATATTAAATTTAAAGAATTGAGGGTGTTATAATGTTAACTAGTGTTTCTTCTCCGCCCTTTTCTCTCCCTGTTCCTCACAGATACTTCTTGTGCCTTCAACTGCGACAGGACATTGCCTCTGGCCGCCTGCCCTGTTCCTTTGTGACTCATGCCCTCTTGGGATCCTACACGCTGCAGGCTGAACATGGAGACTATGACCCAGAAGAGTATGACAGTATTAATCTTAGTGACTTCCAGTTTGCCCCGGCCCAGACTAAGGAGCTGGAAGAAAAGGTGGCAGAACTGCATAAAACTCACAGGTCTGTTGATTTGCTGGGTGGAGATACCAGTGCCATGACAGGTAGACAGAGTTTGCTCGATGTTTGAGAACCAGATTTTATCTTATCTACTTTCTCCTGTGGGCTCTTGTCCAGCACTGACGGAGACAACTGCCAACCTGCAGCTCTTGAGATGGTCTTCATTGTTCTTCTTACTGATATTGGGGATTGTGTTCTTGAAGCTAGACTCTCTTATCAGAGTAATGTACATATGCATATGACACTTCCTCCTCCATCCCGTCCTGTCCTTAACAGATACGCAGGAAGCAGACTTGTGAATATACTGGATTGGCACTTACTTTGCATTTCTTCTGTTTCTTAGTATTGTTGTTACTGTATTTTATAAGAAAGCCAGGAAGGAGTGTCAGTAGATGATACCAAAACACACTGTATATGTGGCTGAGATTTTCAAAGAATAACATTATTATTATTATTATTATTGAAAAGCTGGGGAGGTATTGAAGCATCTGGATTTGAATTAGAGGTATAGATGGTGATGGGTATGGGATGCTGAAATGTGCAGCTGTCCCTACAAGCCACAGAAAACGTCCCTTTTGTTTTGGTGAGGATTGCTTAAATTACTTGAATGCCATGTATACCTCGAATACTTTCATATTTCTGTCAAAATGGAGTTTTACCTGAGCTTTTAAAATCTCTTTAAGATTCAAAATGTTTTATGTTTTCAAGCCATAATTTTATGAAATATTGACTAAAATCATTTGAATAACTTTCAGAGATTTAAAATGCTCAAGGGGCCTTATACATAGACTTTTATTTTAAAAAGTTAAAAAGGTCAGTATTTGACTTTTAATTCTGTATTTAAATTCTGCTCAACAGACATTTATTCTGCCACTCAGATTTGAATTGCTAGGTGTGAAATGCCGTGTTGGAAATGAAGACTGCTGGGTCAGAGACTTGTTAGCTTATGTTGCTCCTGATGCTGCCCAGGCTTTTTCCTCAGTGAGAATAATGGAAAGCGAAGATTAAGTGACCATAATGGAGGTGGTAGAGGTGGAGTGGCAGCTTGTTTCTTACTCTCTACTTTTCTATAGACCTTGCTCTCCAACCCGCACTCCATTATCTATTTTGAGCATATTTGCATCTCCCGTTAGGTAACACAGTTTCTTTTGATCCTCAGGGGCTTATCTCCAGCACAAGCTGATTCTCAGTTCTTAGAAAATGCCAAGAGGCTTTCCATGTACGGTGTTGACCTGCATCATGCTAAGGTATTGTCAATTCAGTGGGAATAACGAACGTTATTCCAGCTCTGTGACTGAAATGGTAGGAAATCTCCAGTTTGACAGCACCTGTTTCATTTTGGAAAAGGCTGTTTGTCTCCACTTGAGGGTCTTTAATATTTCTTGGTGACTACTTATAAAATTCCTGGGTGTGGGAATACTGGTCCTCTCCCTACTTTTTTTCTTCTTTTGTCAGTGTTTTAGTTAATGCCTCTTTGAGAGTTCTTACCATAAAACTGCCTTTGGCAGCCTTTACTTCTTTACCTGCAGTCCTGGTTCATGCTGTGTCCCAGCTTCTGCTAGACCAGACAAGTTGTTCTCAACTTGTGGGTTTTGACTCTTTTGGCGGGGGTCAAACAACTCTTTTCAGGGGTCACCAAAGACCAATTACAATTTATAACAGGAGCAACATTATAGTTAGAAAGTAGCAACGAAAACAATTTCTTGGTTCGGGGTCAAAACGACATGAAGAATTGTATTAAAGGGTTGCAGCCTTAGGAAGGATAAACACCACTGAGCTAGACCAAGTGCCAGATTATTCCCGTCCTCACCACCCAGTCACCCCCCCATAATTTTTTTAAAATTAATATTGTATATAAATACTTGAAGACATATGTTTTGTTTTTGTTTTGTTTTGTTTTTGTTTTTCCGAGACAGGGTTTCTCTGTGGCTTTGGAGACTATCCTGGAACTAGCTCTTTAGACAGGCTGGGCTTGAACACACAGAGATCCACCTGCCTCTGCCTCCTGAGTGCTGGGATTAAAGGCGTGCGCCACCACCTGGTGATCTTAGGCTTCTTTAAATGAGATCTACTCTGAGTGTCATTTTGTTTTATTTTGAAGCCGGGTCTCACTGTGTAGCTCTGGCAGGCTTGAAACTTGCCATATAAAACAGGCTGGACAGAGATCCACTGCCTCTGCTTGCCAAATTGCTGGGATTAATGACGTGTGTCACCACATCTGGCTTTAGTAGTTGTTTTGCAGTTGTAGTTACATTTGCAATCCTCCCTTTTCCGATCAGTGAGTAGTCTCTGGTAACATCATGTCTAAACTGCTGGATGATACAGGACTTTTAAACTTTAAAAAAATACTTCCACATACACTATCTTTTTGAAATTTGCATGTATTTGTTTTTTATAAATACATGAAATAGTAAAGAGAAGGACTTGTCTGATGTCATTTATTGCTGGCCATCATCTCTGCCTAATACTCTTTTTATAAATGTTACTCAATAGCAAATTTGATCTTTCTGAGGGTGGAATGTTGTTTTTTTGTTTTGTTTTGTTTTTTTTTTTTTTTTTTTTTTTTTTTTTTTTTTTTTTTTTTGTTAATGAAGGAAAAAAAAGGATGAGAGAGGACAGGTCTAGAAAGATTCCCCCATCTTTACTTCTTTAATTTCTGTTAATACATAGGATTCTTTGGAGAGGGTGGGAGCAGTAAGGATTGAACCCATGCCCCCAGCCCTGCTAGGCAAATACTCTACCAATGAGCTACACCTTGCTGTCTTTGCAGGATGCAGCTGTTCTATCTCCTTACTTTGTAAATAAATAAGTAAAAGCCAGGTCTTAGGGAACTACTGCAAGGTGTCAGGATTCTTTTCTCTTAATATACTGGAGTATTAAAAGGTAAGGTTGATCGTGAATGTAATGTCAGGGTTTGCTATAAAGTTAAGAACAGAACACTAAAAACACCCAATGCCATTATTTATTCTGTTTGTCATATTAGAATGAGTTAATAATAAGTATATTTGTGGCTCGTGGAAAAGAAGTCCTGTAGCAGTTTTAAAGAACATGTCATGTAAAATTTTATTTTTATAAAACATTTTTCATTGCCTTGAACTCACATTCTTCTCCTTTTTGAAACATTAAGATAGCAAACTCAAGTTAGGACAAGTTCAGGAGTGTTGAAAGTCATGGCGAAGGGGCATGAAAGCACAGAGTATCAGGTACCCAGAGATGGTGCCAATGGCCCTCCTGCACTCTCTAGTTCTGAAGGGTGAAGGGCAGAGCAGCTGCCACAACCTAGGAAGAAAGCTGGTGTGGGGAGGGTTGTTTTCAGAGGAGCCAGCTGATAGAACCACATAGGAAGGGAGCCTGTGTCCTGAACCACAGACCTCCTTCCCTTTCTCTCCTTGATCTTGGGCAAGAGCTCTTCAGCACCTCAAACTGCTCAGCAGGCATCCACACTGGGCAGCTTCCTGAAGGGCAGAACACAGGGTGATTTTTGTAGTCAGCTATTTTTTGTTGTTGCTGAATAGCATAGCTCAGACATGGGAGATTAAGAAATGGTTTTCCTCCTTTGACTTCATACCCTTTTATCAGTAATTCTATTCTCACAAATTTAAAACAATTTTCCTCCTTTGACTTCATACCCTTTTATCAGTAATTCTATTCTCACAAATACTGATAAATTTAAAACAATTATGTGAGCCAGCCAAACCTCCACTGATTTGCTTGAATACAGATGGAATTTCTTTTTCATTAAAATTAAAATACTCCTTTGTCCTGTCTAAAGATTGCTTCAGATTAGATGGAGCTGGCTTTGTCAGTGTTTACACCGAGTGTCACCTCCTCAGCCATGGTGAGAACATGCCATTTTCTACCATTTGCCCTTTCTCTTTGGGCAAGGGTAGTGATGCTTTTGGCAAACAGCTTTTTTTTTGTTTGGTGCCAACTAGTTTGAGCACCTGTGCCTAACTCACCCAGCTTTATCTGCTATTCCTAGAGAGAACTGAGACTGCCAGGATACCAGAGAATAGAATATTGGCTACTTTAAGTTCTTACTTTTTTTTTTTTTGTACTGTGTATTTGATATGTAAGTGGGCATGCCAGTGCTGTGGTGCACACTGCATGGTGCATGTGGAGGTCAGAGACAGTTTTGTGGAGATGGATTTTTCTGTCTACCTTTACATTGGTTCTGGGGATTGAACTCTGGTCATCAGGCGTTTGCAGCAAGTGTTTTATTGGCTAAGCTATCTTGGCATCCCAGTGTTTCAAAACTGCTTGGTGTGGTGTAATGTAATTTTATTTGTGTATTTGTATTTGAATTACTTAGATATCACATCAGATAATGAAATTTTATACATATATACACACATATGTACATACATATATATTGTACTGTACTTTTACTTTGAAAACAAAAAAATATAAATTGTGTTAGATCATTCTTAGTAAGGGTGTAGTCAAAACATTATGTTGTTACTGAATTGGGACTTAAGACTTATGTGCTGTTTGTCTTTGCTTTGTGCATGTGAAAATTTTTCCCATGTTGTTAACAGTTTCTTACACTGTGTACAATTCTGAGTAGCAGTGATGAGTTTGTCTTTCTTGACTGAGATTATCTGCCCCCTGGAGGGTAACTGCTTGTGTGCTTTGACTATTATGCAGCTCTTGTCTTCAGCACCATGAGGGGAAAGTTGTTCCTTTCTTCTTTTGTAAGCGTACTTTAGCTGTCACGTTTCTGCTTTTAGTCTGTACATTTATGTGGCTAAATAAAACCTTTTCGGGCTTGTGATTATCTATATTACCATCTATTCCAAATTAAATCTCTGGGAAAAGAAAACTACTAATATCTTCAGAAATTGTCTTCAGTCCTTTGCAGTATGTCAGCTGAAGGGCTGCTTAATGAGAACTGCATGTCAGCACGTAAGTTATTGAAAATGTTTGAAAGAATTCAGAGGTTTCAACATTGGTAACTTAGAAGAGAAATTTTCTGTGGATTGGTGTTTTGCAAAATGCAGGTATAATTTGAACAGCTGTCAGCTAGCATAGCAGTAGGCCAGCAGATGGTTCATGAGGGCTGGATTTGCTCCAGGGAAACATTCTGTCTTCTGTATCTTTAAGATGCCTAACTCTGGCTCATTTTTTCAGTCTTCCCTATTAAGTCTTGGAGTATTTTTCAGATTGTTATATCCTTTAAATGTTATTTCTATAGTTCTTTGCAAATTCAACCCAATTCCTGAAGATGAATCATTTAATATGAGTATGTGTTCTACTCTTGGAATTAACTTAGGTACTGTCACTAAGATTTAAATATGAACATGTTGACATTTTCAATTATTTGAGGTTTGCTTTGCCTCAGTCTGTTTGATTTTTGTCCTTCTAACCGTCACATGGTTATATTTGGCAGGACTCTGAAGGTGTGGACATCAAGCTGGGTGTATGTGCTAATGGCCTTCTCATTTACAAAGACAAACTGAGAATCAATCGTTTTGCTTGGCCGAAGATCCTGAAAATTTCCTATAAGCGCAGTAATTTCTACATTAAAGTTAGACCAGCAGAGGTAAGCAGTATCTTGTACTCTTGGTCTAGCTAACACACTATTAGTGTTTCCTTTACTAGTGGGAGAAACTAATGAATTCTTGCCACTATAAAAGGAAACTCTTGTTTGTTCTTTTATGGTATACAAGCCAGGTTTCTTGATGATAACCTACATACAAGCATTCTTATTGCTAATATACATAACCATGAGATGTTTCACAAAAAGGAATCTTTTTGTGACCCCCCACTTCTACCCCCTACACAGTGGGAGCTCATTGTTTTCTGGTGACTCAGTTCCATGATGGAATGTGTTTTAGTGGCACTTAATAGTCAGTTTACGTGGGCAATTAACACTTGCTTTTCATAGAAACAGTGTCACAGTCTGAAAGTTTTTACTTTGTCTGACTATGGATAGACTAAATGTTAATCTAACAGAAATGCCTAAATCTTCTTACAGTAAGTAGCATGTAGCCATTGCTTAAGGAACAGACTGATTTGTTTAATGGGTTTATTCCAGCTGGAACAGTTTGAGAGCACCATTGGATTCAAATTGCCAAACCATCGGGCAGCTAAGAGGCTATGGAAAGTCTGTGTGGAGCATCACACTTTCTACAGGTAACTAATCAGTCTCTGGAATTGCCATGGGATGTATCTGGACCCCGCTTCAGGGCTTCTTGCTCTCCTGGAGGCTGTATTTCATGCTGGTTGTTTCTGTTGCCTGAGGCCATGCTTCTGTCTGCCTTCTGCTTGTCACTCTGTCTTCTTCCACCACCCTCATGCTACCCCACCTGAGCATAGGTGGGACCTGATGGCCTCTGTCTTCTATGCCTACTTTCTCTCCCATGTTCCTTCCAGGGTTTTCTGTGATGTGCTAGTTCTACAGAGCTCACTTAAAAGTACACCATTTTGTTCCTGAAGACTTGTGATAATGCTTAACAAACCAATGGTCAGCCTTATGTGACACTTCCAGAGCTATTCTAAAACAATGTGTTTAGCATGGAAAGGGAACATCCTAATGTATTTGTAGCTGGCTGACTGTTACCTTAACAGAAAATAAATGAGAAGAAATTTGATTGTGTGGAGTTCCTCTCATTGGACATGGGTATGAAATGTCTTCTCAGACTATGTTAGTGAGAAAAGTTACCTTTCGAATTGGGTGGGGGGACAGAGTAAAACTACATTGATTCTGGAGTGCATTCTAAAGATTGTATTATTATATGGTTTACTAAGGCCCAGCTCTTCAGTAGTCGCTCTAGCAATGAACCAGAGATCACAGGGCTTGCATCAGTTTCCCTGTGCTAAATCTTCACCATGGCTGCACCAATAAGTTTGTCAGTTACCTTCTCTCATTTCTGTAGGTGACTGAGTTTTGCAGTATCGCTAGCTAGAGAAATTCTGCCATGTTCTGCCCATCAGAAGACAGTTCAAAGGAAATAAGCAGTCGTCAGTGTGTGTGTTTCCAGCACCATTGTGATACACCATTGTGTGGATCTCTTGAAAATTTATAGGCAGAAAATGGGATGTGTTTTATATATAGTTACACTTTACCACATGAATAGGCTTGGGCCAAGAAGGCATGATGTATATTAGTTCATTTATCATTTAATTCTGACGCAGTGTTTTCTAGATGAATAGTATTTAGAGACTTTTCAGTTAAAGGAGGATTGCCTCTCACAGTTATCACGTCTACTTTGCCTTGACTTAGAACTCACCGTTCACTAACAGTGACTGTAAAAACTTATACAGAAGATCTAGAAATACTTGGAATGACTTTAGAAAAAATCTTCCTTGGAAAATGAATGAAATCTCCATATTCTTGACCTGTCAACTAAAGTCTTAATAATAAATCCTAAGATCTCTGAGATTGTATTTCTGTTAAGATTTGTTCTCAATTCCTAATTAAACAATGGCATTAATTTCAGTTGCATCAAAAAAGATTGGTTTCCTTATTCAAAGCATGCTGTTACATAAATCTGAAAGTTATTTGTGATCAATGTTTGAATTTCATGCATTATGAACCCAAGGTTTATACAGTAGAATTAATGTTGGCAAAAAAAAAGAATATTAGTCATCCCTTTGTAAGTTCTGTTCTTCAGGGAAGAATTACTTAATGGAACAGATTCTTGAGTTAGATTTTTTTTTCTCCTACCAGAAAGAGGCATAAATATTAACAATTGCTAATGGTAATGGGCTTTTTACTTGGCACTTACAACTAGCAGCACAAATTCAGACATATGTGTTTATATAAATGATTTACACTAACTCAAATACTCTTGATACACATTCAGAACAGCTGCTCTTTTGGTTGGGCTGGGGAAAAAAAAAATCTGTGAACACATCCCTATTACAAAACTACACATGACCTGGTGTTGATATTGCTCTATAATCCAGCACTTAGGATCAGGGACGTGGAGGAATTGAGAGCCAGCCTGGTTTGCCCAGGAGTTTGAGACCAGCTAGGGCTATATATTCAGACCTTGTCTCAAAACAGAACACAACAACAAAACAAAAATGAAACCAGATAGGTAGGAAGAATGTTTTTTATTAAAGCATGTGTAGCACCATTGTTGTTACTATTGCAGAGTTTCTCCATTTAGCTTTTGTAGCCTGTCCTGGAACTTGCTCAGCAGACCAGGCTAGCCTCAAACTTACAGAGATCCACCTACCTCTGCCTCACGAGTGCTGGGATTAAAGGAGTGTATCACCACGGCCCAGCTATCACACTGTTTTTGACTAATCATATTTAAAATAATATATAAAAATACATACCTTTTTCCCCATGTACCTGAAGTCTTTTTTTTTTTTTTTCCCCCTTGTAGGCTTGTTTCTCCAGAGCAGCCACCAAAGGCCAAGTTCTTGACTTTGGGGTCCAAATTCCGCTACAGTGGACGCACCCAGGCACAGACCCGCCAAGCAAGCACCCTCATAGATAGGCCAGCACCACACTTTGAGCGTGCCTCTAGTAAACGTGTCTCTAGGAGCCTAGATGGAGGTAAACATATTTGTAATTTTGGATTCTACTCATCTTTTCTAGTCCATTGGGGTCAGAAAGTGATATCTAGTTAATAAGACTACCAGACATCCTCTAGAGGGACAGACAGTTAACTCTCAAATCAGTAAAATGTTATTCTCTGAGTAAACTAATTTTATATTCAGGTTTTCACTTTCACCACATATCTTCTTTCTGTTAACAGCATATATAGCATGTATTTTTGTTGATGATTATATGCTATTGGATAAACATCTTTCTCTTGATTTTATTTGATTATGATCTCTAGTGTGGCTTAATTTCTTATACATATTAGTTGCTAACATTTCTAAGGGATTTGGGGGTAAATTTGCATATGAGTCTTTTTTTGGGGTGGTGGGGGAGGTGGTGTTTCCAGACAGTATTACTCTGTGTAGCCTTGGCTGTATTGAAACTTAGCTCTATAGACCAGGCTGACCTGAAACTCACAGAGAACTGCCTACATCTGTCTCCCAAGTGCTGGGATTAAAGGTATGCACTACCACTGCATAGCTGCATATGAATCTTAATTCAAATAATTGAAAAACAGTTCTCTCAGATTTGAAGGTATGCTTTCCAAAGTTTATCAAACTTCCAGCATACAAGAAATTGTACTAGGATTCAAAGAATTAATTTTTAATACAGTTTTAAACAATAATGAAAGAAATATATACTCATTTGTCTGGGGAGAGAGTATAAATATTAGTGTTTTTCTATTAAGAGTTCAGATGAGCTACGTATTTGTAGTTTTATGTAATATATGCATGGAAATGAGGTGATGTTGCTCTTTTCCTATTATTTGTCATACTGATTATTAGTAAATTAGGAATTAATAATGTTTCGTATAAGAGAGATAATGTTACATTTTTATTAAAATGCTTTTCTTTTTGTGTAACAAAAATTATTGTTGTGATTAGAATATTGGTTATATTTAATAATAATAGTTTGAAAAATTATAATTCTATATTGCATTATTAGCAAATATAATTTTGATTTTTTTTGTTTCTTTGTATAGTTCTGAATTATGAACTTGAACAAGTTAGATGTTACATAGTTAGATAAGACAGACTATTCCTATGCTGACTCAGTCTCCCACTAGTGGGGGACTGACACAGGTTGAGTATGCTCTACCTTTCCTAGTAAAAGAAGCTACAAAATAGGTACAGGCACACATGGCTGTTTCCCAGGGTTTGTTGGTGGCTATTGGTGTATGTGGTTGTTAACTCTGGAGAGTCTTCCATACAGTTTTAAGGAACCACCAGGAAAATATGTGCTTCAAGCAAACAGATGTCCCTGTTTCCCGATGTGACTGTTTTAAGTTTAGCGAATTAGTGGTGTCAGTTAGCAGCTGAGCTGGGCTGAAAAACACGCCCATCCGAGTAAGTACATATCAAGTCTGCTCTTGCAGTCCCTGTTGTTTCGCTCCAAGAGGAGCCACTGCCCATCTGGGCACTGTCTTCAGCCTTGGCTCTAAGGGGGGAGGCTGTAGGTAGAGCTCATGTCGTGAGCATTCATGAAGAACATTCAGCCAGGGAATCTTCTTTGTGGCCTTCTTTGGGAAACCCACCATCTTGATTTGCTTAGTTGTTGCAGAGATTCTCCAGAATTGTATCTGAAAACTCTTTCACAGGGAAAAGGCACCAGCATGGCACCAGGATTTCACCTTTGTGTTTTGGACACTGTCACTCATCAGATGGGCAGGTCATCAGAAGGACGACTGTGAAAAATAGGAGGCTTTCATGCCAGTGTATGACTGCATGGCCAGTGAATTGTTTGGTTAGGCTTATATACTTTTCCCCAAGCAAAGCAAAACTACTCTGTAACCCAGTACGGAGCTCTATTTCTTTCACCATTTTTATCAGCATCCCTTTAGCATTGCTGACAAGTGTTGTATTTCCTTATTTTTTAAATTTACTTTTAAAAGTTACCTTGAAAAGTTTAGATAGGTAAATAATCTTCCCTTTAAAGTTTAGAAAAATTGTTTAGTGATTGCATAAAAGGCACCATTTAATGTGACATGGAAGACTTAAAAATAAAAACTACCTAGAACAGTAGTTGTAGAACAGTGAGACTCTTCTGAGGTTAGGGAATGGTCACTTTGGAGAACTGACAGTCATCAGTCGCTGGGAAGTGGGGGTGACAGTGATTTTTCTGAATGTGAAAATAAGAGTAGACAGGGGTGCTATGTTTCTTAAGTACGGTCATCAGGGATGGAAGGCCTCCCTAATGAAGAACCCCAGAGACCTAGAAGGATGAAAGGGAAGCAGCCATAGAAGAGAGAACATAGACCATCCCCAGCAGTTGAAGCCACAGAGCAGCTCAGAACAGAAAAAAAAAGAGTGAACTCTCAAGCTTAGAAGAGCCAGGCTGCTGTCGGGTTCTGCAGGGTCCGTCATGTGTGGACCGTTGACGGCTTAGTGCGCTGTAAGGGCACACAAGAGCATAGTGTTAGCAAACATTCTAAGAGAATGGGTAGAACGAAGACAGACAGGAAACTAGCTTGGAGTGGTTTACATAACGGTGGGTGCAGTGGTCTTCACCTTAGTTTGGGAGTAGACTAGTTGGTTACTTCACATTAGACTGAGGGATGTGTTTAAAAGTATCCAGTCAACATTTTTTCAACTTGGTTTTGTGAGCTTTTAAAAATTTTATATTGACTCCTATTTCAGCATCAGTATATTTGAAACTATTTTTAGGTCACATTTTCTCACTTTGTAGTAATTTGTGTTTGTAATAGATGCCTAAAATTGTATAATAAGCCAAAGGGGTATGCACAGTTATATACTTCTATACAAGACAATTAGTAAAATCTTACCAAAATTAAAAAAAAAAAATCCTGGGGAAATAAGCAGGTATAATGCAAGATTGAACTCATTTTAATGTGAATTTTGAAAGTAAGTTTTTATAGATTAGAAAAGCTTTAAAGGGTGAAGTATAGAAAACTTACCATGTTTAGAAGAAACACAGCTGTTTGACTTGCTGGTTTTAAGAGGTGATGTTCTATAATTAGAGGTTCCTGGCTGAAGCAAATAGGGCCAAGTTAGAGTATCATTTGGTAAAGCAAATAGGCCTGGGGAGGGTGTAGATTATTGGGTACCTTGTAGGACAAAGATTCAAAGTACCCATACCTCAACTGATGGGTTACATGTTCTTCTCTCTAAGGGCTTCAGGCTCTATGGCTTTTTGTTTACTGGAGTTTGTCTTGGTTTATGGAATAAAAGCAAACCACTGCAAGGTATCTGTCTATAAAGCACTTTTATTAGGAGGAAAAGACCTGGGGGAATTCCATTGTTCCGGAGGAGCTTCTGTTAGAGAGACCTGTAACTAACCCAGCTGACTCTGGAGTTGATCCAACACTGTGACAAAACCTTAGAATAGTAGATTTCTACCTCCTTGAGGCCAATCTTTGGGCAGTAGCTGGGGTCCTGGACACTGGAGTCAGGCTGAGATACTCCGAAGTGTCAGAAAAATGAAAAATAATTAGATAAGTAAACCTTTTAGTATACAAATAAAGGTTAATTTTCAGGGGATTTCCTAAAGCCCCTTGGAAAAAGTCATTTTAGTAAATAGTTAATTATTTGTTTTGAAAGGTAGATTTAGGACTGATTAGTCACCTCAGATTATGGTTATATTTTAAGTCTGCTGGACTGTTGAAGTTGGGCTAAGAGCTCCTCCTACTGGTCAGTTCCATGAGCCACATGCTTAAAAATCTAATTTGCTGGATAGATACTCAGAGTATTAGTAGAGTGTCATATTAGTTTAAAAACAAGTTTGGTTTTAAACAGTTTGTTGATACCAAAAATGTTGATATTTTCAAAGTTCGAACTATGTTCTAGCTACTTATACGTGACCTGTTTGTTTAAGGGGTTGTGTTCTTTAAAGCTTCACTGTTCACAGGTCAAGGTACTCACAAGTACTTCAACTTACTTTCTGATTAGCTCCAATTGGTGTTGTGGACCAAAGTCTTATGAAGGATTTTCCTGGCCCTCCTGGAGAGGGTTTGGCCCATGGCCCTGCAGCTTTCAGCTATACTGCCATACAAGATGGTGACAGCCGGAGGGATGTCAGGAGCCCAACCAAATTGGCACCCCTGCTCGCTGAAGGAAAGGTATGGCACGTTAGCACTAGTGCTCTTGGGAAGGTGTGTTTAGATGGAGGCTCTCTGCTATATTTTGTGTATCAGACTCAGAAATTTATTATCCTTGTCTAACCTATGCTGGTTTAATTTCCCAGGTTTCAAGTATGTGTAGGCTGCTGATGATTTGGACTGTGATTTCTAACCTTGCTTTGATTATTTTTTAGAGCAAAATATTTCAGTGTAAATTATACTAATATAAGAAAGCAGTGCACTGGCTTTTCCTTTTTTCTTAGTTTATTATCAGTTGAATCACCAGTGATAAGAGTTATTGATTTGAAATTTGCATAGTTTGTTACTAGTCAATTTTAAATGTAGTCCCTGTCTTGAGTTTTTTTATGTTTTCTTAATGTTTATATGAATTAAGTAATTTTTATGAAAAATATATTAATTTGTAGCTGTGGACAGTGAGTACAGAATTGGTGTGATGTCATAGTCTATTTTGTACATACACTATCATGAATGAAGCAGCAACAGATATTAAGATATTCTCAAATCTGTCACTGTTACTAAAGTCTGTTTAATAGATTGATAAAGTCACTTGCGTAAAGAGCTTTTGAGCTCCTCATGTCTCATTTCCAGACCTGCACAAAGCAATTTTTTATATGCAACATTGGAAATAAGTGCACATGTGCACATATGTGCACACAGATACACAATCATCTTGTTGACTTGCAGTGTCTGTTTAATTCAGGCTTTGAAAAATATAAAGATACACAGAATGACTTAGAAAGGAATGGTAGCTGAATTATCTGCAAGAACAATAGGAGTTCTTGCACTGACATCCTCTGCTGCCAGCATAGAGGTCTCAGACACATGGCCACAGCAGTGATGGGAAATCATTTGCATGTAAGAATTTGTGATTGTCATGTTGAAATTATTTGGCTAAAAGGTATTTAAAAATATACAATTTATGTCCTACATGATGTCCTTCAAGTGCTAAGTTGTCAGAATCTTTTAAATTATGTTTAGAGTACCTCCCCGCCCCCCAAAAAAATGACTACTGAAGAGAAGTAGGTTTAGTATTTCAAAATAGTTCTGTTCTGCTTTTCCTGCTTAATTTGACATACATAATTATGAAATAATTTTTTTGGACAGCGAAAGTTCTTATATGAAATTGTAAAAGAAATCTTTCTTGTTTAACTAATGACTAGTTATGTGAGCTTTTTGCTAGTATTTTTATTATATGTGTCAGCCACTAGGTTTCAGTAACATCTGTTAGAAACTCACAGTGATTAATATGTATAAAAGAAATCCAGATTTCCTCCTTAAAAATGGATGGTTCAGTTAATTTTTTAGCCTCTGATTTATGAGACTTCCTTGGGAGTAAAGTTTTCACTAACGTATCTTCTTCTCTCCTGTGTTGTTGTTGTTCCTTTGAACATGGCCATCGTGTGACTCATCCTCACTGTGGGCCACTGTGAAGCAGACTGTGTGCATGTGCCCTCCATCACCTCTCATCTGCTGTACTTCCTCTTTTCCCCCACACCTCCTGCCCCTCCCCGAAGTGGACTTGCTATCAGACATTTCAGAGGAAGACCCTTTTGGGGAGGCTGAGCAGACCACACTAGATAGCTTTGAGTTGCTTTCCACAGGTGGAACATCAGAGCAGGGGGACCCTGAGGTGGCCACATTGGATTCTGTCTTGGATCCTGGTGTAGTCCCTCCTCAACCTGACTGTTCTTCCATCCATGAGAAGACTCTCAGACTGGCTGACCATACGGGTTCTGAATGTGGTTACTTTTCCTTTCACTTGTACAAATACTTGGCCTCTGGCTTTGCTTCCCTTCTTGATGAAGATGGGTATCTTGCTTTCCCTAGCCTCCCCAAGGTCTGCCTTTCCTTTCTCCCCCCTGATGTGCAGCATTACATCCCCATCTCATCACCTTCATTCATTCCTTCACTTATCCTCATCTTTGGGCTGCTTCTCTCAGCTTCTCAGTCAGTTTCTTTTTCTCTTACCTTTTCACTTCCTCTGGCACTAGTCCTCTGCTATCTGGAGGGGAAAGCCACTGCCTTTCATGTTTCTTATGATGGTGATTTGAATGACAAGCCAGAGGAAGAGGAAGCAGTGGGCAACATGTCTCCATAAAGTACATTTTTTGAAGTCCACCAACTATTCTTTGTTATATCCCCTTTCTAATAGAGTCTAAACCTGTGCGTTAATTTTACTGACTACCCTCAAAATAGTATGCACACATTTACACACACACACACACACACACACACACACACACACACACACACACACACACGCATGAGTGATAAGTGTAGATACTTTTCTGCTTTTACACACATTTTAACTTGAGAGCAAACTGGTGAGATTATTGTGTAACTATCTTAGATCATATGAGATTGTTAAAGGACTGTGTGAGCAGGAAATCTGTGCTGTCCTTAAGCATGTATCTTGGCTCTGTTCTGAAGATAAATGTTAGTCCTGTTCCTTAAGCATGGGAACTTACTGTTTTGAAACAAAACATAGAATGTTTTGGACATAAGTGTAATTGACATGTATCAGTAGAACTTAGTATTACTAATCTTGAACAAAATCCAGGCTTGTACTTGGATTTAGGAGCCCGAGGGAGTCTGTAAATGACACTCCTGATGTTTCTAAGCCTAACATCAGAAACTCCATGATGTACTTTCAGCATTTGGGGACCAGGGAGATGAACGTCGTCTTCTTTCTACTGCCCTGAATCATGCAATTATATAAGTCATTATCAGGTATTTTATAAGAAAGATGATGTTCCATATCTAACAAATATGTATGAAAAAGGGAACATTTGACTTTGCGAAATTGGACTATATATGAAAGGTTGGCCTTTTTGCTTTTTTATTTAAAATGAGGTGTCTGAGACTTTTTACATGTGTGTAAGATGGCTGTTTTAAGTGTTCTACCTCTGCACTACAAGGAAGTCCGTCTTAAGATGTGCAGTATAGTTTTAATTATTTTGCTCAAGGTGGTTTGGTGATTAAGTGTCTTGTATCTTAGGGATTCTGTCAACACAGATTAAATCACAGAGCAAACAAAAAGAAAAACGTAAATGGATCGAGTGTACATTGTAGGAGAAATTGTAATTCTTTACATTTGCTTGAGAAATACCAAAGATCAACCTTTTAGTGAATTAAGTATTGACCATGAAATTGGAGCCTAATTCTTCACAGAGCTATGTCACATTTTTCACCTCTGATACAAAGATGTGGGGGTGGTGACTCTCAGTGTCCATTTACCTCTCACACACACCACTGAATGGTTACAAACAGACCCTTTGAACTCTGCTTGGCGCTGTCATGCAAGCACAGGAGAGAGACATGTGGGCAGGTTATCCTTTCCTGCCAGTATTTTTGTTTTTGCCATTAGTTTCCTGGTATTAACATTTACTCAGTATTTCTTAGTCTTAAGCCTTGGAATTAATTCTTTGGGGTCATTAATATTGGGTCATGTCCAACTGCAGAATACTGTTATATAAAAATTTCATGGAAAATGGCTATATTTTAAACATTATTTGCAAATACCCATTTTAATATGAAAAAAGCTCATCTGCTAATTTTGCCCCAAGAAAACCTATATTTAAAGACTGATGGGACAGTGTACAATGATGTAAAATGTGTAACGTACTTAAAGCTGAAGACAAATTTGGCATCTCTGTACATTGTTGTCCCATTGCTTCTTGACCTAAAAGTAGAGCATAATCTAGGGACTGAGAAAGAGTGAAGCTTCCATTCTCCATTCCACCCTTGCGAAAGATCATTTCCATCATTTGTGCAACACTGTAGGTGAAGACAGAGCAGAGTGACTTAGTAGCGTCTTCTGAGGGCCAGGAGTAAAGGTTGGTACCCCTGCTGCACCACTGAGTTTGAATACAGCATCTCTCTGCCTTGCTGGTGGAGCCCTACCAACGAGTCCCTTCTTTCTGCCTGTGTGCTGTGTGACTTTGCAGGGGAAGATGGAAGACATGGAAACGTACTTGGAGGAGGTGTCTGTTTTTCCTTATGTTAATAATAAGTGCCTGTTGCCCGACTTTCCTGTTGTTGCGGCGCTGGGCTCGGGGTTGGAGAGGATGGTGGAATGCACTTTCAGGGTTTATCTGAATTTTGCTTATTGTGGCTTTTAAGATTTTTATTCTCTTTTATTTTAAAGTCTTAGATTATAGAACTCTGGGTTGTTTATGGTGTTGGTGATTGACACACTTATGTTTATTTGCCTTTCCCCCCTGTGTGTGATTTAATTTCACAGAAAAATACCTTGAGAGTAGAAGGGGATAATATTTATGTCAGACATAGCAATTTAATGTTGGAGGTTTGTATGAGAACCGTTGTACTCTGTCCTCTGGCTGCCGTGCTGCTGTGGACGGGAGGTCACGCACAGGCTGGCTGGCCATTCTCTTTAAGCACAGTGCATGCAATGCATGGGGCTATTGAACTTGGGAGTGCATGCTACAAGATCAGCTTGGTTCTTAGGTGCTATAGGTAGGGATATATCTGTTGCAAGTTCTCAAAGTGACAACCGGAGAGAAAAGCTCTTATTATTTAAATAAGGTTTATTCATTACTAAGTAAGCCTGTTTCCCCAATAGGTCACCTTTAAGCTATAGAATCTGAAGTAATATGATCCCATTTTTTAATATACATTAAACAGAATAGGTAAAGTTTTTATTTGACATTTTCTCATACAATTGACTCAATCTATAGCTTCACCCTCCTTTTTTTGACCTCTCAGTACAATCCATATAATAAGGTGTGTGGCCCATTTAAATACTTGAGAATATGCTAATTAATAAAATTGTTCTGACTAGAAGGAAAGAGCAGAGGAGAGAGAGGGTGGAAAGGAAGGGGGAAGAGATAGGTAGGTAGGTAGATAGACAGAAATAGATAGATAGACAGACAGACAGACAGACAGACAGATAGATGAGACTTTGGGAGTTGTAAAGTATGTTCCCATGTAAGAGGAGGACAGTTTTCGAAGGTACTATGTGCAGTGTGTTCAGAGGAGACCTGCAGCTCTGGGGAGTCTGACTAATCTGTTAAGTTGCTTTTGGCAGCTTTGATAATTGCTAAAGTGTATTTTTGCTTAACTTACTAAAATGCTGTGACGTGTAATAAGTTAACATTGCTGTGAACAAATGCAAGAAATGTGCCTGATCTCAAGCCAGTCATTTCCCCATGCCATGCAAAAGTTTCAGGTTTCCGTTAGGTTTTTGCAAATGGCTATAGAAGCTCATGGTGAGCTACTATGCTTGTGCATGACTGTGGATTAGCTAATTTTACCAGATGCATGACCTGCCTTAGGGAGTGGGACTAGGATCTACAGGCAGCCTGTGATTTTTGAAATGTAAGAAAACATTTAAAATTCTGTTAATTCCAATTTCTGAACATTGATTACACATGTACTTTTTACCAGAGCCAGGTTTTTGTTTGCTTGTTTGTTTCTTCTAAATGTGCCATATATCATTTGTCAGGGCCTAGACCAGTGAAAATAGAACTAGTACTTTTTTCTTCCTTTCTTTTTTTTTTTCATCTTTGTAAAGGGACCACATGTTACATGAGGTGGCTGGGTTTCTCCTTTGCTCTTGGCATTGCACAAGACCAGTATGTGGTTCGTTTAGAGAGAGACCAAGCATAAAGAGCCTCTGAAAGCAGCTATTACTATTCTTTAAGAATTAGAAGCCACCACTGGGGTTTTCTGACAAAGATACCCCTGGCTTTTCTACTTCTGTTGATGGTCCTAGATAGGCCAGGTGTTTGCTTCTACATTTACCCTTCTTTGTTTTGCTATATTCACAGAATACAGTTTAGTAAGAGCCTTTATAACAAAGATAAATTTGCAGGAACAAAGTCATAGCCTTTACAACAAAGATAAATTTGCAGGAACAAAGTCATAGGCTGCTATTTAAATCCAAGTATATAAAAAAGTATGGTTAGCTATTACGGTCAGTTCCATGACTCCCTTCTAATATGGATAACTTCAAATCCCAAAAAGAGAAGAAATTAAAATCATTCAAATCTGAGTGAAATAATTCAGTGGCTTCATTTTCAAATTTTTATGAACTCAGGGCTATCCACGGGTGATAATATGGCTTTTGAGACTTGGCATTTTTCTTGCTGTATTATGTTTTTGAATAATAAGTTTACTTTATCTTATTTTTTGGTTCTATTTTGCCCTGCTGGTTTTTTTTTTTTTTTTCCTTTTGGATTCCCTTTGTCATGTTACATGTTGCTAGGACCTGGATAAGGCCCAGGAGGACATACTGAAACATCAGGCTAGCATTAGTGAGCTCAAGCGCAATTTTATGGAGTCCACACCTGAGCCGCGCCCCAATGAATGGGAAAAACGACGTATCACACCTCTGTCCCTACAGACACAAGGGGTATGTCACTAGCTGTTTGTTGGCTTTGTGTCTCACTGCAGTTGTTCATTTTGTTTGTTGATTCTCAGAAATTAGAAAATGTCCCCACATAAATTCTTTTGTATTGCTAACAATTTTTTAAAATCACTAAGTATTAACAATGTAATATCATTGACCTAAACCTTAGTTAAATTTTATGAATTTCAGAGTACTTTTGGAATATTTTTAGAATAATTTTATTGTTGTATTTGAGTAAATTAGTATTATTGAATTGTTACTTAGGACAGTTGAGAACTAATGTAATACTGTATCTAACAAGTTTCTTAGTTATTGACTTCTCAAATAAGGACATTTAGTTGATAAAGGAATGTAGAGCATATGTAGAATGGTTTGAGGTCATTATTATGAAGATAATGAGTTAAGATTTACCTTTAAAGATTGATGGGCTCTGTTGAAAAGTTGCAAAACATTGTATGTTATGAATATTCTATATCAATGCACTTATGAAACTTTCTGGCAACAGTAAATAGAGTCAAAAACGTTATAAACAGGAGTGGGCCTCAGGCCTGCTCTTTTTTCTTTTCATGTCTGCTTCTTACCTTCACCAAGTATTGCCTTTATAATATACTCTGAGACTATCTCTGCGTTCATTCCATCCTCTTCCTCCCCTCTGAGGATGCTCGAAGATCTCTCGTGTGAGTGAACAGGTAGTTCATGGGCACGTCCCTCCTGAGGAGACTGATGCAGTTTACTTGGCACTTTTGAAAGCTGTACAAAGATGTTGCATTAAAACTTTATTTCCCTTTGATGAAGTAGTGAATGTTGCTCAATTGTAGACACTTGATTTAGACACTCCAGTGCTGGCTTTACTCACCCTTCCTCAGAGCAAAGCTCCTGGTAGTATTAAGTTTCCAAGTTTGTGGCACTGAACATGAGGCAGTGCTTCAAGAAGGAGTGAGCAAAACTAATTGCTGACCCGGAAAATGTAACCTGTCAAGTGGAGAGATTAGATGCTCTGCATGCTGGGTGTTGTGAAGGAGGAAACCAGCAGTTACAGATTTTCTGAAAAACCAGTGCTTTTAACAGTCTAGTCTAGAATTTCCAGAGAAATGGTGGTTGCTGACCTAGGAAGGGACAACTTTCCTCTTTGTACTATTCCATCTGGTTTGCTTCACTGACCCACACGGTCCTTTTGCGTTTGTGTTGCTATAGGTGTGATGTATGTGTCTTTTTGTTGATTATGTCATTGTTTAAAACAATAGAGAAAAGGAGACCATCTTTTCAAGGATATTCTGTCCATGAAGGAGAAGTACCTGATGGCGGCTGCGCGGACAGTTGAAGAGGAAGCTCAGGCGGACAAGGTGTTCACCTTGCGTCATTGGGTCTGCTTTTGCTCCTCCGTCCCATGCATTTCTGTTCACAGCCAGAGATACTTTTTTAACATGACAACCTAATTTTCAAATAGTTTTTAAATGTTTAAAAAAAGTTAGGCTCCTATGTATTAGGGGCACAGGAACATTGGGGAGAAAAATTCTGTTTCAGTCAACACTTTACATGCAGTTTGAGAATAAGGAAGTACAGGAATATCAGCCATGTTAGGTGATACACGCTCCATCATTTGATGTATGTGGCTTCTGGTTGGGAAACTAGTCTCATGAAAATGCACTGTACGTCCCTTAGGCACATGGTGGTGCTGTTAAGACACAGTGTGTGTGCTTTGGTTCATAACTTACTAATCACGCATGGGAAGCTTCTGAATTTTCATTTTCAAGATTTAACAAAAGAGATACAGAGGTACCGTAGCAGCTTCTTTCTCCTTGTGCCCTTGAGTATGTGAAATGCCTGTCATGGGTGAGGGAAAGCTTTCTGTTTCTTTTCCACTGTACTCTGCTGTTGAGGTTGCTTAGCCGGCCAGTTAGACTGGAGAGTAACCTTAAAGAGGTGTGGGACATAGCACTGTGTTAGCAGGGACAGGAGGAGATGGCATTTAAAGTAAATTCTTAATGATAAAGTAGATCAAAGAGAGTTCCAGGACAGCCAAGGCTACACAGAGAAACCCTGTAGACCAGAAGATGTATCCATACTAAATAAAGGAAGAACACGTGGCAGCTGCTAAACTAGGAACTGGTTTAGGAACAGAAATGGCTAAATGGTAGGAGCTTAATAGAAAGGGAAGCAATCATGAGAATGCATAGAATGCAAGTCAACTGCCATCATTTGGTAAGGGCTTTTGAAGATAATAACTAGAATTTTGGTGAAGATGTTTAAGATTCTTGTTTTTGTGGATTTTATGTTTTAAGAATATACAGCATAAATAACTTAGAGGTTAAAGTGAAGTTATGTGACCTTTAGTCAGGGAAAGCTCCTAGCGGGACTTATATGTATTTGAAATGACTGCGTTTTCTGATATGTGGCAAACACATATACACACATACATACATACATACATACATACATACATACATACATACATATCTGGTGTTCTCTAGCTATTGTTAATCCAGTTGTCTTTTCACCCATGAAGCATTTATTGGCCATCTGTCAGTGAGCTTTCCTCTTGCATACCATATCACTATATGAAGCACGTGCTCAGCCTGCTTAAACTTTGACTCCAGTTGAATACCAATTCAGTTTCCATCTTTATTATGTCTTCCTTTCACTTTTGATTTTTCAGGGTTTCTTATTTGACTTTGGATAATAATCATTATTGAAAAGTGGAAAAAACATGCAAGTATTTGCTTAAAATTTCCAAATTCCTATAGTGTGAGTCTTACAAAAGTTTTTAAAAAGATTTGCTAATTTTTATGTGTGAGTGCTTTTTCTGCATATATGTGTGTGTGTACCTCATGTGTGCTTGGTGCCCACAAAGGTCAGAAGAGGGCATCAAATTCCCTAGAACTGGAGTTATAAAGGCCTGTGAACCACTGTATGGGTGCTGGGAATCGAACCTGGATCCTCTGCAAGATCAAGTGTTCTTAACCTCTGAGCCATCTCATCTCAGTCCCTTTGTGTGTGTGTGTGTGTGTGTGTGTGTGTGAGTGAGAGAGAGAGAGAGAGAGAGGGGGGGGGAGAGGAGAAGAGAGGAGAGGGAGGGAGGGAGAGAGGGAGGGAGGGGAGAGAGAAAGTTTAAAAATTAAATAGATTAACTGTTCAAAATGGCTTTGGTTTGATCATGGATAATTTGGGGGATAGAACAGAAATTGGAAGCCAAAGGATTTTTAGTTTTTGTTGGTAAGTAACTATTGTGCATCCTCTTGTGGATCATGAGACTTATCATGACTTGTATAGGTCTTTTGGGGGGGGGTAGTATTGAGGGTTGATTCCAGGGTATTGAACATGCAGGACAGACACTACATGGGTAACATACCCAGTCCGTAAGATACTTTTGAAAAGGTTTGATTAATTCACTTCCCAACACTTAAATTCCAAAATCCCTTCACTCCCCCCAATTTTGTTTTTGAGACAGGGTTTCTCTGAATAACAGTTCTAACTGTCCTGGAACTCAGAGAGATCCCTGGCCTCTGCCCCCAAGTGCTGAGATTAAAGATATGCGCCAGCACTGCTGAAATTCCACAACTTTTATTGTTGAAGATCAGAAACCTTTTTCTCTGCTGTAACTTTTAAGAACTTGCCTACCCTCCCACGCCATCCTTTGTAGGTCATTGTCTGAAGAACACTGCACACGTGCCGTGCATTTGCCTATTTATTTAAGGTCTCTGGAATATGAGGTTTATCAAGAATTCTCACAGTGTTCCACATGGTGGGTGGGAGGGGCATCCTTTGTGGCATCCCAAGTTCTGAGGATTGTCACAACTTGTCCATTGTCCTCGCAGGCTGCCTAGGAAGCGTTGTGTAAGGGATAGAAATGTGAAAGTTAATATATATGCCTTATTAGATTTTCAGAGGATGAGCTCACTGAGTACTGAGTTTTCAGTTCTGGGATTGTCTTAATTTTTTTAACTGTTTGTTTTTGCTCCACTCCCCCAAATGGTGGAGGACCCCACCATTGTGTCAAGAATGCTTGTTGCATTTGTGTGCAGTAGAGATCATAGGAGGTAGGGTGGTTACAGAAGGCATTGCACAAAATATGCTCTATTAAGTGGGCAGACTCAGAAACCCAGAGTGGATCCAGCACAGGGAAGAAGCACCTCCCTGAAAATTCTCTGCCAGAAAAAGAGAGGCCAAGGAGCTACCTCAGAAGTCAGTGTTGGAGAGGCTGGGAGTGTGCCGTGTGTTCCAGCATTTCAGTGAGGAATGGCGTTGGAGCTGGCTTCTGTAGGTTACAGCTTCCAGAGGTTCTCAGGCAAGGTGCAGAAGCTGGCAGTCAGGCAAACCACATAAGCCTGCTTCCATCTCCAAAATTCTCACTTTTCCTTTCATTGTGTGCTGTTCTGTTTTCCTTTCTTGTGTAACTGTTCCTTTCTCTTAGTAGGTCACTGCCATCTGTCCTGCTGTATTGCTAACTCTTTGCTCTTCCTTTTCTGACTTCTAGAGCCTAGAAGAGGAGATAACATCAATTTTGTTTAGTGGAAAGGGCTTTTCTCATAGTATGAAAGCCTCCTTCCCTTCAGCCACCACTTGGACAGCAGAGAGCGCTGTTGTGAACTCTAATGCACCTAGAGAAAAGCTTTCTTCTTCGCCCTTCCCACACTTGCTTGAGGTGCTTTTCCCTTTGTATCCCCTGCTACTAAAAGCCACATATGAGACAGATTTTCTTTAGTTGTTTTCCTTTTTGAGTGTTTAGGTTCCATTCCCTCCACTTGTAAGCTAGTGAAATCACTGCCATTCAAGAAGCAGTGGATTTGAACATAAAGAAGTAGATTGGATAATTTTTCCTATTTGTTTTTGTTAAGACAAACAAAAACCCTGTCTAAACTTAGGAAATGGTTTAAACCACTGAGGCCCAGAGCTGGAGTTACCAAGCAGCAGGAAAGTGTCGACCAAGCGGAAGCTAGCTAAGTGCTTGCAGAACTCGAGTTTCCAAAACCCACACTGCAGACATCTTATGGTGGCCTATCATTTGAAATAGCACTCACATGCCCGCCAGAGTTCCTGAGCTAATTGAGTTGGGATGACATGCTGGAGTTCCCTGAACTTGAGCCAAACGGGTCTAGCCATTTGAGGCTAAGTAGTAATAGCTATATTACTGGCCTGTAATAACCCTGAAACATCTGCCTTAGAAATGCTCTGAGCACGAGGTATCTTCATTTGGGAAGCAGTTTGTAGTTAGATGTTAGTTGACTATAAAAATAGACTCATGACTTTCAGTTTAATATCTGAAACTTGTTGGTTCTCAGTAAAACTGGAAAGGTGACTCTCTTATTTTGCTAATCACATGGTCACATGGTACGAATTTTGAGCACCTCAAACAAAATGATGATGCATTTCAGAGTGACATGTTAGTGCGCCTGTGGCATGTGTTTGTAGGTGCCAGAGACTTGTAGCATTTAGCTGTGGGTGTCCTTGTTGCTGGGACCTACGAAGTACCTGGTGTCTAGCAAGAAAGCCTCTGAGTACAGTTAGTGTCCAGAAGGGTCAGAGGACAGTGCCCTTCTGCATCAGTGTGGGTGCTACACACCGTGAGTAAATAGCGCTGCTGCTTGGAACTGAATTATTTTTCAGTTAGATCACTAATAGGAGTGTCACGAGGATGTAAGCCTCTTGCTCTGCTTTATTAGTATAAATGTAGGTAGTGTGACGTTTTGAAAACTGGTCTACAAGGCATCACTCCCCTAGTTAACACTGGACCATAGTAATGTATGTCACTCCGGTATTTAGTGCACAGGTATTAGATAGAATGGTTAGCCACTGTTTCAATCAAATAGAAGTAATGTACTCCCAAGAAATAGGTATCCACAGGGGTTTGAGATGATCGTCTTCAGTAGTAAACTTGACCATTTCAGTGGTGACAGTGAATAGCCAAAATCTAAGAGGAAACGTGAGCAAATGTTGACACCCACCCAAATATCTGTATTATAAATTGAGATGTTAGTACTTGTCTGGACTGAAGGTTTTAATGTGAATAGCCATTTGAAACCAAACGTGATTTTGCCTGGTCAGGTGTCCCCCACCTCCTCCCAGAACGTTTCTTTGTGTAACATCCCTGGCTGTCCTGCAGCAGGACTCTGTAGACCAGGCTGCTCAAGCTCACAGAGATCAGCCTCTCCATTGCTGGGATTAAAGATGTGTGCTGCCACTGCCCAGCTCCAAGCTATTTTTTAAAAAGCATTATCCCCACCCCCCCAAAGAAAGAAATCCTTGATGCTGCACTTATTTAGGACTTAGAGCCCTTGCCAGTGTTCTAGATCAGACTAAAGTGTTTGAGGAACAGATTTAAAGTTTATCATTTAAACAGAATAGGAAGCCTAGGTATAATTACATATATTTTTTTTAACATTTTCAACTCCATAAATAGGGCTTATAGTTGTAGTAATTTTTAAATTTCTTTTCAAGAATATTGGCTGTTTTGTCTTTTGTTTGTTTTGTAAGTGTTGTGGCATGTGTCTCCTTGTCCTCTGTGACCCTGAGCTTGGGTTTCAGTAGGGTTGGTTCTTGCTGTTCTGTGTTTGCACTGTCACATGTCTGTTTCAGTGGTTGTTGAGGTAAACCGTATTGATTTTGTGTCCTCGGTTGCTTTTTGTTCCGCAGACTCGCACTCCTGCATCAGAAGGGCCTTGCACTGGAGCCAGGGACGATGTTAAGGTTCCCCCTTTTCCGTGTTAATGCCATGCCTAACGCCTCTCATCGCCTCATGTTTCCCTGCTTCCCTTCCAGTCAGCCATCATAATCATCTTTTTCTTCATGACATGAATCTGCCATCACTTAATTTGAGTTCCCACTGTTTTTATTTATTCATATATTTTTGTTTTCCCTCATCCATCTTTCTTTTTTGTACAGAGTTCACATGAGACTCTGAATGTAGTGGAGGAGAAGAAGCAGGCAGAGGTTGGGAAAGACGAAAGAATAATCACAGAAGAAATGAATGGTAAAGAGCTATCAGCTGGGAGTGGCCCTGGGGAGACTCGTAAGGTGGAGCCGGTGGCACAAAAAGACTCCACCTCCCTGTCTTCTGAGAGCAGCAGCAGCAGTGACAGTGAGGAGGAAGACGTGGGGGAGTACCAGCCCCACCACCGAGTGACCGAGGGCACCATAAGGGAAGAGCAGGAGGAGTATGATGACGAGATGGAGGAAGAGCCCGGCCAAGCAGCCAAGGTAGTAGAGAGGGAGGCAGCAATGCCTGAAGCCATGCCAGACAGACAAGCAGAGGCCAGTATACTCACAGTAGAAACAGAGGCCCAGGAAAATGTAGTTGCCCAAAAGATACCCGGAGAGAAGAGTGCACACGGAGGCACTGTTAAGCAAGACATGACAGAAGAAACAGAGGAAGAGCAACACAGAGTTAACGGAGAGGTGCCCCATGTTGACATTGATGTTTTACCAGAAATTATTTGTTGTTCAGAGGTAAATGGGAGTCTCAAGCATGAGCTAAACTATAGCGCTGTTTCTCAGGTGGAAACATCTGCCTTTCTTCACCTTTCCCCTGGTTCTCCTTCAGCCTTTTCAGCAAGAATCTGATTGTTGTTTCTGGGAAGAAGAGGGAAGCCCTGTTTTGTAAATCTTGTGCAGCTCAGGTCATAGTTTGTAGCTTCTTCGCTGCACTGGATTATCTGTAGGGTAAACGCCAACAACCACACTCCTTTTCCTCATTTCCCATTTCACTTGCTCTTTGCATGTTTTGGGTGCTTTTTTTGTCTTTCTTTGCACTACTTCCTCAGTTACATGCCCTTTTTCATCAGCTTATGTAGTAAAATGTGTGTGTACTGTTCAAAGATGGTGGGTTTAAGTGTGTGTGCGCCTGCTGTAATGACTGGATTTGACTTTCTGGATCATTCTCTTACTTTTCCTTCGAGCTCACAGCAGGGCTTCTGGCAGTGGTAAGGACATTATTTCTTAAATGCCACTTGTGGTTCCTGTCTTCAGAGTCCAGGGAGAGTGTGGTTTGGTTAAGCGCCTTTTCCTTCTTCACATCCAAGGACTAAACATTCAGTAGACTACACTCTTCATGTTCTTACATCAGTCCTGGATTGTTTGCAAACATTATCTTGTAGACTGTCCAATGTTAGATATGTCTTTTATTTTCAAGAAAGAGAACCTTGCATATTCCTCTCAGATTCAGTCTTGATCAGTAGGGACAATGTCTTTCATGGGATAATTTACTTACACAGGAATATCTCTTGATATTGTGGCTTTGTTTTTGGAGTAAATATGTTACCTTAAAGTTTATATTTCACTTCAGAGAAAACATCTCAAGAATCTTTTGAACACTTTTTCATTTAAATAATTATACCCGTTGGGATCTTTCTCTCAAAGGAAGCGTTATAATATTTGGTAGTGCTGTAGTCTGGTATATGTACTCATGTATGCTCAGCAGTGTTAACAGACATCAAATCTCTCTGCATGTTTAAAATCTTTCAGAGCACTTAATGCAACACTGATGGACTAATTTTAGGTAGAACATTTTATTGTACTTAATGCAAAAGAAAGCACACTTTCAGATGAGTATAACTGAAAATAATCATACTTGAAAATGTCCTTTCTGATAATGGCATGTTTTTTTGGGGAGAGTAAATCTTGGCCTACATAGCTTACAATCCAATTAAAAATAATAAGCCTTCACATTGTGGTTCTTTAAGCTTCAGTGAAAATAGAGATAGTTACCTTTAGTGCATTCTGTTAGTTTTCAATGTTAACATTTTTTTTCCCCAAAGTAAAGTATACCTATGTCGGTATTAATGGTTTAGGACCATCACAATTTGAAAAGTAATACAATTTAGGAAGTCATTATTTTAGCTTATTTTCCATGTGCATGCTCATGTGTGTGTATTTGTGTGTGTGTGCCCCCCCACACACATATATACTTATATTTGTGTAAGATATATCTAAGGGGAATTTGTCTTTTATATCTTTTAGATTATTTGCTTTTTCTCTTCCTTTTCGTGCATGACTGTGTGTTTGGATATTTTAAACAACTCATTTTGAAGGTTCCTTTAAACACTTCTACTTTATGACCACTAGAATTTACCTTTCCCTTCCTTTTCCACCTCAGCCACCAGTGGTAAAAACAGAGATGGTAACAATTTCTGATGCCTCACAAAGGACAGAAATCTCCACCAAGGAAGTCCCCATTGTTCAAACGGAGACCAAAACCATCACATATGAGTCTCCACAGGTACAAACGCTCAAGATTTGGATTCTTTGGATTCCCTTTTCTGTTTAGAATGCATATTTCTGTTTACAGTATCTTCCCCCATTTCTGACTTTGACATGGCTTTTCACACTTTGTACCTGCTCTGTTGCTGTCTTAGATTTAGACAGAGCTACAGTCAAATGGGTGATCTCCAAAGGACTGGAGAGATAGGGCAGTTCTAGTAGTGTGAGGCTCTGAGTTCTGTCCCTGGTACCTAGGGAAAGAATAACCTCAGTTAGAGACAAGGTCTAAGTACATATTGTGCATGTAGTGCTTACATAGGAGAGCTGTCTGTATGATTAGTTAAGACAAGCAGCACAAGACCTATCCTATTACTATTGGGCCTTTTCTGGCTTTTTGTATCTAAAACTATGTGTATGTTTTTGGGAAGCAGATGACCTTGCAATGTTTACTGGATGTGATGTGTTTTATAGATTTGTAGTATTATGAGTTTCTCCTGCTCTGACTCCCCAAAAGCAGACCAAATAAACTCATACTTTATTCCAATATTAGAGGCACCCACATAACTTGCTCCCCTTTATGCTGGGTTATCTTTCTTAGGCATATGTAGTCATTTCCATGCAGTCTGTGTCAAAATGACTAGAAGAACTGTGTGCTTGATTTTAGGTCTGCAGACTCTGGTTCTGCGAAAGATTTTTAAATCAGAAGGCTGGAGAGTTTGCTTAGTTGATGGTACAGCGATTGCCACACAAGCATGAGGACCTGAGTTCAGATACCTGTTCAAAGCTGGGGGTGGTTCTTGCCTGCAGTCCCAGTATTAGGGAGGAGGAGCCTCGGGCTTGCTTGCCAACCAGTGCTGCTAAATTTGATGGAGTTGGTCATCTTCATGTCTCAGAAATAAGGTGGCCAGCAATTGAGAAAGACACCTGACACTATCCTCTGAGCTCCACAAACTCATGTGTATGCACGCACACATAAAAAAAACCAGATGGGTTCATCATTTCAAAATGGACCTGTTTAAAAATGTGTATGATAAATAGTTTACCTTTCTCTGGCAGGATTGCACTGAGGTGAAGGATGTCAGATCTCAAAATATTTTTTAAGAGACTGTATGTGTACATGTATACAACATAGCTCAAAACAGTTTCAAGCATGTTATCCATGTGTGTGCATAGATCCCACATTAGACAAACAGGTGTCTTTACCATTGGCAAGTTTGTGAGAATATTGCTCTTACCCTTAGAAAGAAGCTCAGGTGCCTGCGGCAAGTTTGGGAGGGATTTCCTTGTTTTAGTGTCAGGAAATAGGCAGATATGTTTGCAATTGTAACATAAGCAACCTAGGTATTAATTTACTTTATTATTTTGCCTGGGAAACTCTAGAATCTTCTGCCTCTTCCAGTGTTGCTACAGCAAACAAATTAAAGTAGCTCCTTTTAAAATATACACAATAGGATATATATATGAGACATACATGGAGTATATCCACATATATAATATTAGTATATGCACTCATACACATGTATATACTCATGAGTTACCAACCATTTTAAGAACTATGTAAATTTTACAAAATATATTAGAGATAAGCAAATTACCAATTCATTCAAGTTCAGTTTGTCCTCATCAGGTTCTGTTACTAGTAAGCTGAGAAAATGTTTACCTATTTTTACCCACCTGTGCTTAAAAAAAACAATAGCAAAGTCAGTACTTCTGGTCACTGTGGAAACTTCTTCACCTGGCTCTCCGGTTTCTTTTTCTGGCTTCAACAAATGTCCTCAGACAAATCCTCTTTACTCTTATATGGCTTACAGTCCCAGCTTCTACTTTGTTCTACTTCCTCTTTCTGCCACAGGGTTTGTTTCTGTACATTCACTGTTTTTCACAGCTCTCTGTTTTCAATGCCAGCTGCTTTCTGGACCATGAACCACTACTACCAACATGCAAAGGACAGGCAGATAGCATCTCCTCTGGAATTTTAGAAGATGCATACTCAGTGGGCGGGGTCTTTTCTGACATGATGGAAGTTAAGCATTACTTTGTATTTTTCCTCCAACTATCCAAAGATTGATGGCGGGGCTGGTGGTGATTCGGGCACGTTACTGACCGCACAAACCATCACATCTGAGTCCGTGTCAACAACGACAACCACACACATCACCAAGGTAAAGCAACCTAGGGGGACCCTAGGGAGAGGATGGTACATGGCAAACAGATCTTTTCTGTATTATTCCTTTGTTCCTGTACACACTTCTAAGTAATACACAGACAGTGCCAGTGGACGAAAATGTCTTTCTTTAAAGTATCCAAGAAATTAGGCTGCAACAACAAATGTGTTTTGAACCAAATTACAGTTTTGTAAAGTACAAGGGGGTAAAAATACGACCAGCTGTATTTAAGACATGGATAGAAGAACTATTTTAATAAAATTGTGAAGCTTCTCTCATTTATTTAAGATTCTAGTATGTTGATTTGAGACATTTTACCAGAGTATTTTCTAAACATTTAAGAGTAAGTATATAACCAACCCATATAGTCTTGGCTTGAGACCATCCGTGGCTTCTGGGGCTTGGAGGTCTAAAGGTCATGACTCACTCCAGACCTATTGAAACCCTGCGGGGAAGCTTCCAGCTGATTCTGATTCACTCTAATGCAATTCCAGGCTGATGTTCCAGGGTTTCATTTTGCTTATAGTGTCACATTGGATTAGTGCTTTTAATGTTTCAGGACTGTAATTTAAACAGCAAGCAAAAGTAGCAGGAAATTTTATGTTGTAAATTAAAAATGCAAGGTACGATAGAGCTAGGGATAAGCTTTATTTCTTAGTTCAATGCCACTGCGTGTAATTGGTGTGTGAATTGTGAAGGTGGTAGAGATTGCCTGTGTGTTTTCTTGGAAATTTGGTTTTGCCAGTGCTCTTTTCAAAGGTCTCGGATGGTCTCTCAGGCCTTCTACTTCTCCAGCCTGCCCCAGGCACTCTCAGCTTGCACCTGACCAGTGCCTCCATGAGGCTGTTTGTTAAAGGCCTCCTTCACCCCAGTCTTTCTCTACAGCCAGTGCACAGCGTGTTCTATGTCCATGCGCACAAACACATATGGAAGCAATCACAACTTTAATCAGATCAAACTTTAAATGAAAATCTCATTTGTTTTCCTGAAATCAAAGGAAAGGTTTTTTTTTTTTTTTTAATTGCACTAAATCAAATGAATGAACTCAATAAATGAATTTGTATAACTAGGATCAAACATCAAAACTATAGTTATCATGTAGTGGCCTAAATGGAAAATATACCTACAATGTTTATAAGTCTACAAACAGTTATTTGTTCTTTCTATTCTCCTTTTCAAAAGTTGGCCAACTGATAGGGAAGAAAGTCAGGGAATGTAATAGATTATCCCAGTGGAATTACTTAGATTTTTTAAAAAGTGGCATCTGTTCCATTTTAATCTCACTAGAATCTTGGTATCTTAAGGACTGCTTTCAAGTAAAGAACATGTATGGATATTGCAACTTTAACAATAGGACTCTGTGGAACTGAGAAGTACATCACAGAAAACACCTAGAGCCTGAGTCTTGCGCTCCTCTGTATTCTGGTCTTAAAATGGTCAGAAGTTGGAAGTCGGGCTTTGCTTTTCTACTCTGCTTGCAAGCTCTAGTTACTATTTTTTTCTTCTATTTATGACCTTTAGACTGTAAAGGGTGGAATATCAGAAACAAGAATTGAGAAACGTATTGTGATCACAGGAGATGCTGCTCTTGATCACGATCAGGTAAGGCCTTCCTGTCACATCTGTGTGTAATCACCTGGTGCATCCTGGATGGATCCAACTCCTAAGTTTGGTGGCAAGACACCAAACAGCCTGTGCTGTGACTGCCTGTCCTGTGAGCTTTCCTAAGCACATGAGCACAAAACATGTTTATCCTCCACTGGATTAACATGCAAGATAATGGGGACGTCAGTGACAAGTAAGAATTGACATTGGCTTGGTTTAAAGACAAGTCATCACATATTTTAAAACAAATGGCAGTTATTGACAATGCCCTAAAAAACAAACAAGCAAAAAGTCACCAAGGTTTCTTATGCCTATTTTGTTGGCCATTTTCAAGTGATTTTGTGGCATAAGAAAAGTTGGGCTATCGAAGTATTTTTCTATATTATAATTTGGGGTGTAGAGTGAAGGGAAGATTATCTCGTTTCTTTCAAAATGAAAATTTATATTCTACTAACCAAATACTCATCTCATGATTGTTGTTCTTCTGACCCTGGTAGGCGCTGGCTCAGGCAATTAGGGAAGCCAGAGAGCAGCACCCTGATATGTCGGTCACGAGGGTAGTAGTACACAAAGAAACAGAGCTGGCGGAGGAAGGAGAAGAATAAGGTAAGTGAGCCTGGCCATCCACAGCATTCCCTGTGGTCCTGTGCTGTGCAATTTTTATATCAGGGCCTTTGCTTTAGTTTTGCATGATTTTCTTCGGGTTATTGTTATTTCCAAGCACACCTGCTCAAATGTGTATCATGAGAATCTCTATGGTCTGCTGGTTATCAGGTGCACATGACTGTGCAGTGTATGTATAGAGGCTGCTAGCAATCGACATTCCTTCTATCAAGTGTGTTAGTAATTGATGTTCACAGTGGCCTTGGAGGATGGGGCTGTTACCTTTATATTAAAGAGAGATTTGTCTTTTTTAAGAGATAATGAGCTAAGCCTTTAAAATATATGTGTTAAAAATTATGTATTAAACAGTCATCTATAAAGAAAGTAAAACTCTTATATTACCTAAAAGTTGAAAGTTTAGTTGGACCACAGAGGGAATGTAATGATAGATGGTGTTTAACCAACAGAAAAGGATTAATATTCTCAAAAAAGCTAAAGCATTATTAAGAAAGTGTAAACACTTGTGGAGAAAAACGGCTGAAGATTATACAGGTAAACCATGTAAAAACTAAGTGAACTATAAACAAGAATCTTTGACCTGACTATATTGCTTAAATCAGTAAACATTTAAAGTCTGTGGAACATTTTTCACTCATATGACAGAAATTTATGTTTAAACCAGTGTTGGAAGGTTATGGGAAGAAATATGGATTCACATACTTAGTATATTATTTCTTAGAATACAATTTGACAAAAACCTATCTCAAAGTATTTACATTAAACTGGCCTATCTTTAAATTCCCTTTAAGAACTTAGTGGGGGCTCAGCAAGTAAATGCTCTTGCTGCTGCTTAGACAACCTCAATTCAATCCCGGGGAGAGAGACAACTCCTTCAAGTTGTCCTCTGACCTTGACATGTGAGCTATGGCGGAAACACCCTCAAAAACATAGATGTGTGCAGACAAATATAGTAAAAATTAAAAGCAGTAAATACTAAGGAATGTTTGCTGACATCCCTCTTCAGAGTCTATTATATTGTGTTCTTTAAAAAGCCAGTCAAACTTATCAGTGAGGGGCCTATATGTACTATAGCGGCACTAGAGTTAATACCAATAACACGTTAACATCAGACCAACCCACACTTGTTTGTGTACTAGTAGTAAGGCCTGAGATAATTTAAATGACACTAGTAGCTTCCATGCGATGATTAAAGAATTCTTGATGAAATGTATAAATATGACATCAATCTGTTAGGATTTTATAAATAGTCCTTATCACATATAGTACACAGGAAGATTACTTTAAAAGTCTACTTTGAGCAGTCAGGGCAGATAACTCACGGGAATGGTGAGGCCAGGGAGTGTTAATCTTCTGCCTCACACAGTAAAACTGTTGGCTTGTCCATCTGCAGAGAGTGAAGACCTTACTAGTTCACAGCATCCATGCTGAGGTTTTTATTTTGCTAATTTAGTGGATGTGAAATGATATATAACTGTGATTGTAATTTTGGTTTCTTCCATGCAAAAAGATAAATTAGCCACTCATTTTTTTCTGTGAAAATGGGAATAGCCAGGAAACTCATAACATTTCTGTGAAATACTTATCTACTTTTGTAAAAATCTTTTTTCTTTCTTCCATTTTTTTTTCTTCAAATTATTTACTTTATTATGGGTCTGGTTGTTTGCTTGTATGTTGTACCACATTCATTCCTGTTGCCATCAGAGGCTAGAAGGGAGCATCGGATCCCCTAAATTGGACTTCAGATTGGTGATTATAAACCACTACATGGGTGCTGGGGTCCTCTGCCACAGCTGTGATCGGTTTTAACCACTCAGCCATCACTCCAGCCCCCATTTATTGATTCTTAATACTAAGTCTTTATGATGTTTTATGTTACAAATATTGTGAGGCTCGTGGTGTTTCTTTCATTATTAATGTAATTGATTTATAAGCTTTCTGGTTTATGCCCTTTTCATACTCTTGAGTATTAAAGATACTTTCCTTCTGAGTATGTCAGTATTGCAATTCACATAGCAAGTATTAAGCTTTCTTCACTTGTTTTTCCTGGGTGCTGAAAAGCACTGGCTGCTTTCAGCACTGCTTATTAAATAGCTGGTCCTTCCCCTGTAAGCTGCAATGTCAAGGCTCAGCTGCTTTTGTGGAAGGTATGTTTTTTTGGCGGTCAGTTTCCATTGGTCCTTATGTGTTTTCTGCCTCATTGCCATACTGTTTTCATCATGTATTGTCATACTGGGTCTTGATAGTTATGCCCCCACTTTGGTTCTTTTTGTTCTTTCTTGATTCTTTCTTGCCATATGGATAGCCTAGATAAAGACAGTTAATAGTGAAGACTTCCTGTGTAGAGCACTGGGATGATCAGATAGAGATGGGGAAAAAGGAAAGAGATAAAACCAATGGAGAGGATGTTGGAGATCTCAAATTCTACTCTAAGGTTGTCTTCAGGTTCCAAAAGAGCAGGAAAGATTTGCTGAAAGCAAGTATGCCTTTCTTTCCATGTTACTTGTTACTTGGTAGGTCTTTGCATGGGATATTTGAGTGCAGCAATAGCATTTTTACCACTGTATGTTAGTATTTATCAGTAGTGTATATGGTTGGTTGGTTTGTTGGTTCACTGACTGAAAGTGTGCTAGATTAGATGATGAGCCATATAACAGGGATTCAGGCATTTCTTAATACAGAAACTGTACTGGACACCTGTATTTAAGAGTAGGATTGAATTTAATTTTGAAGCAAAATCAGGAGTGAAATACCACATGGAAAAATTTGTAAAAATATGACATTATTAGCTAATACTACTAGGGACTTATTCCATGTTTGGCTTTGTATTGAGGCCTCTATTATTGGTTCCTAGAGTCAACTGTGACTTGTGAGGACATTGAGGCTAGAGAAGTTACATTGCTTTGTGTGGCCCAAGCCAGTTAGTTGGTGACTGGCTGAGCTAGAAGGATCATTCACCAGCTGGATACCATACCCCACCAGGCTTTGCTGAAGGACCCATCACAGGAATCTTTCAAATAAATTCCCACACGCCATACTTGGATCCATTCCAGAAAAATTCATTTTGGGCAAAAGTCTCTTGAGTTTTTGGCTTTGTTATAAAGCCAAATGACCAAATAAAGCTAATGCTTTTTTTCCCCCCAACTTTTTTTATTTGAATTAGAAACAGGATTGTTTTACATGACAATCCCATTTCCCTTCTCCCACCCATCCTCCCCTACCTGCCCCCCCCAACTAAAACCTTATCTGTCACATATCTTTTCTGCTCCCCCTGGATGGTGAGGCCTTCCATAGGGTGTCATCAGAGTCTTTCGTATCCTTTGGGGTAGGGCCTAGGCCCACCCCCGTGTGTCTTGGCTCAGGGAGTATTCCTCTATATGGACTGGGCTCCCAAAGTCCACGCCTATGCTAGGGATAAATACTGGGCTTCTACAAGAGGTCCCATAGATTTCTGAGGTTTCCTCACAGAAACCCATGTTCCTGGGGTCTGGATCAGTCCCATGCTGGTATTCTGATAAACACCTTCAGCAAAGTGGCTGGATACAAGATTGAAATTTTTTTAATTTGAAGAACTTTGCATTACTTTGCATTGTTTTCCTTCATTCTTTTGTATAAAAGCAAAAAAAAAAAAAGTGTTTTCATTTTTTATTCAGACTTCTCCCTGGATAAGTGCTTTACTGTTTAAAGACAGTGTTAAATGCTTTTAAAAACCAATTTACTGCCGGGTGGTGGTGGCACACGCCTTTAATTCCAGCATACTAGAGGCAGGCAGGTGGATCTTTGTGAGTGTGAGGCCAGCCTGGTATACAAAGCGAGTTCCACACACAGAGGGCCAGGGCCACACACAGAGAAACCCTATCTTGAAAAACAAGCAAAAAACAAACAAATGAATGAATGAATGTACTGACTCACTTTTCTGAGGTCTTGGCTTTTAAAGTGAGATTGGAACACTTCTGCACATGAACCTCACTGTTTTCAATTGCTCCACAGGGTGCACTGGAGAAAGGAAAGTGGATCTCTCAGAACTTGTGAGAGAGCTTCAGGCCAAGGGTGGGGACAGCATGTGCTCTTAAAGAATTTGAACATGGAATTAGACCTGTAGTAATGTATGGAGTCATACTAGCCCATTTTCACATTGGCCAACAGAGGGGGACACAAGCTCAGGAATGACTGCAATAGTTAGAAATGTTTACTAATATTGCATAATCCAGGGTGGTTTTTGTTTTCTTGGTCACAGTTCTAATACATAAAATATAAGCTTAATAGCATTGACCTTATAACAAAATCTATGATGTTGTGAAAGTGAAGATGTCAATGCCTGTCAATTTGTACTAACAGTATGAAAAATGTGTCCAGTCTTCTGAAAACATGAAATAGAATCCTGTCCTAAAGTAAAAAGGTTAGGCATAGTGGTGCACACATTTAATCACAGCACTTGGGAGGTAGAGACAGAGATCTCTGTGAGTTTAGGCTAGCCTGGACTATAGTAAGTTCCAGACCTGCCAGGGCTACACAGTGAAACACTTTTAAAAAAGATAAAGGGCTGTGTGCTGGATATGTGGCTTACCAGCAGGCTCAGTCCTTCTCGACCCTGCATAGGCAGGGGAAGGGGGAGGCTCTTGAAGTGCTTTGACTTTTACCTAAAGGTGTGATGCTTCATTTTTAGTTGGGAAAAGTGTCAACCATTTAAACCTAGAATAAAAAACTTATCCCATATTAAGTTTAATTCTTAGAGATACAAAAAGAAAAAAAAAAAGAAACAAACAATGATGTAATATGTGTATGCCAGTGACATTAGTGGTTCCATGCTTATCTCTGGTCTTTCCTAGTTCAGAACCTAAATGTTAGGGAATATATCCTGTGTTTAAATGCAGGAAGAGCCAAGATACATGGATGTATAAATAAGGAACTATACAAAGGAAGTTACTGCTCAGCCATCTAAAACAATAAGGAGTTCTGACTCTCACAGGTTATACTATTTCTGTTATTTTGCTGTGGGAGTAAGGGACATTTTAAAGTGTGTGTCTTCGTGTTAAGTGCAGTAGGTCTTGAAGATTTTTCTTCAATATCTACTGTCTTCCATTTCCTACACATTCCTAGTCTTCCTGTAATGTCATTGAAATAAATAATTTTTGCTCTCTTTTCTAATTTTATGACATTTTTGATGGAAACAAATTTAAAGAAATAAAGTGACACAAACCAACCCTAGATAGAGAAAATGTCATAAGGAATGGAAAATTACTGTAGATTTTCAGAGATAGCTAACATTGACCCTTGTTTTTTAATCTCCAATTTTAATAATATATCTAACCTGTATATCTAAAGCATTATTTCAGCAGACGAAGGAGTTTGTTTTCTGATATAAACTGGATAGATCAGGGTAGCTGTTTTCCCAACAAATGACACACATTCACCAGGCAGAGCAGAGACACTAGATGTCAAAGTGCAAGAATAGGTAGGGTGACCTAAGGTCACTGATAACCCTCGGTTTTCCCTCACCGTCTCATGTTTCTCTTAGGGATTGCTACCCTGAAAGACTTTGCTTCCGTTGATTTCCCTGCCTAGACTAATGAGTAATGAAATAGCCTAAGGAAGACAGCAGAGTGGGAAGCAATGGAGTTGATTAGTCATTCTGCCCCAAATAATCTAGAGCTTTTACTATTATCTGTGCTGTTTCTAAATAATGGGAAGCATTTTCCCCCTATCAAAATAAGAATTTTATCTCACCAATACCATGTACATTCTGATTTATTTTGGGACTGGTGTCTTCTGGAAGGAACATTAATGTCCACTATCCTCTATAATTAATACATTTGCCAGAATTTTTGCCAAGTTGAAATGCAAAATGAAGCAGATGCATCTAAAAATCTTTTGGTAGCTCAGGCATGGTTAATCACTTTTTAGTCCTGTGTGCTGTCTGTCTGCCTTTGACTATGGGCTTGTGAGCTTCCCTGAGACACAGTATTTTCTTTTTTTTCCCTGATACATTTGATTTCCTTGTACCTGTTAGTCTTGCTTGGATCCCTGTGTGCTAATTCATAGATCTATCCTATGTCCTGAGTGGATGGCTCACACAGGATCTATGCCTACCCTTTTTCATTATTTTAGGTCTCAGACTTTGTAATCATACAGGAACACTCTCTTAGTTGCTTTTGATTTGTTTTGTGACAAGGTGTCACTATCGTAGCCTTGGCTGACCTGGAATTTACTGTGTAGACCAGGGTGGCCTCTAAATCATAGAGTTCCACCTGCCTCTGCCTCTTGGGAGGCCGGTTGTTCGTGCTCAGTTACCACAGCCAGCTACCTTTGCCCCCTTATTCCGTGGCAATAACTGAAGTCTGAGTCTTCCCCTTTTACAGTAACATCTGATCCTCACAATTTTCATCTCGCCCTCCCCTGTGGGGGCTTCTGACCAGAGTTCTAGCCTCTGCTCCCCTTCCCCTTCAGCATGCTCACCATGCTGAAATCACAGTAGTGCTTTCAAACTGTGAGTGTCCTCGGCGCCAGAGAAGGAGCAATTGCATCTTCCCTGGTGTATGCTGTGCATAGCTGATGGCCCCCTGCTCATGACTCATTTCCTCATTTCCTCATTTTCCCAAGCTCTGTATTCTCTTCTCTCTCACTGTAGCTGATCTTTTGTCAACCCCCCCATACACCAGTTTTTATTCGCTCAGCTTTGCCCTTCTCATGCCAGTGTTGTAGAACAGACCTGATGTCCTTACCCCATCCATCACTTTTGTACCCACCCATACTTTCCTGCTGTGTGTTGCTTCAGACTCTGGTGTTCCATTCACTTCCGGCTCCTCTCCTACATAAGTCCTTAAGTCCATCTTAGTATCATAATGCTCTCTCTATACCTTCTGTCCTCCTCACTTGTTCTTAGCACCCGAAGTAATCTTCCAGTTCATCTCAATGAAATAAAAACAGACTGACTTTCCTCAAGTCTAGATACAAATCTGCTTTGGGGGCTGGAGAGATGGCTCAGGAGTTAAGAGCACTGACTGCTCTTCCAGAGGTCCTGAATTCAATTCCCAGCAACCACATGGTGGCTCACAACCATCTGTAATGAAGTCTGGTGCCCTCTTCTGGCCTGTAGGGACACATGCAGGCAGAACCCTGTATACATAATAAATCTTAAAAAAAAAAAAACCCAAAAAACAAAAAACAAAAAAAACAAAAAAAACCTGCATTGGTTAACTTTTTTTTTTTACAGAAGTCCTCATCACCCAAAGGGGGTCTGTTTTACTGCTAATGTTGCATGCCTGAAACCAAATAGTATTGAATCCTCCATGTACTGGCCCCCTTTATTCAGTTAAGGGAAGCCCTTTGTGACTTCCTTTTAGCATATCTGAATTGCATATATCTCTGCTCAGGCACCTTGAAACCATTAGTAAGAAAAGTAGGAGCTACTTGAATGCAGGAATAAGAGGCCATGACATTTGACCTAATAACCAGCATGGCTGCTAACTGATGAATGGGCAAGTGGCATATCCATATTAACTCAGAAACTAGGTGGGTCTGGGTGAGAGAGCATTGTGCTACTCAGAACAGCCTTCGGTTTCAGACTTCACTTTTGAATTGTCCCTGTCATGTCTTTGGACCACAGCTGACTATAGGTACCTGCAGCTGCAGAAGGGAAAACTAGCTAAAGGACTGGGGGCAGGGGGTTGTATTACACTGTGTGTCGTCTCTTTTATGGTGATTGAATCATGTTTTGTGGTCTTTGTTGCCAGCTCTTCTGTACTTGGCAATTTTCCTGAAGTAAAGTTTCTAGGCTTGGAATAAGCTCTCATGTTTGCTTTAAGTAAAGATATTATTTCCTTTTAAGTAGGCAGATAATTATTGATTACTTGATTGAAAAGTTTGATTACTTAACTTTCTTTTTATAGCCTGATTTTGGAATACTTAAGCTTTATGTCTTTTTTTTTCTTTCATAGAAAGTCATTTTTTAAACAACATTCAACTTCATGAATCTGAAGAACTTTGACCATTCCAAGTCTTAACGCCACACCACTACTCCAGCAAATTTGTGCTACAACTGGTAACATTGACCAGAAGCCTGAAGAATTAAAATGCCAACACCAAACCTTACATTAACAGCTCTGGTCCATACTACTCCCATGCATTTCTAATATATTATTTGTTTTATAACCACTTCTAAATATTCCTGCTTCCTCTCTCTCTCTCTCTCTCTCTCTCTCTCTCTCTCTCTCTCTCTCTCTCTCTCTCTCTCTCTCTCTCTCTCTCTCTCTCTCTCTCTCTCTCTCTCTCTAAATTCTTTGTTTTTTGTTAAGGGTTTTGTATTTGTTTCCTTTTCCTACCTGCTTTTTATGACTCATTTGCTCACATGACAGTGAACAAAGCCAGCCCTCGGCTGGTACGGTGCTGTTCACTTGAACAGGTGCTGTTGTGTGGAGAGGAAACTCTGTGACTAATTTAGACAGTGATTTTCATTCTTACAGTAAATATTTACAGTGTTCAAATTGCAGTAAATGTACTGCATGAGAACATATTACTACCAATTAAAAGCATTTCTTATATCTTGAAACTTTTCTAATATTTGGGAACTTCACTATGGATGGTTTTTATATTGAACCCATTGACTTTCCAGTCCTGTGTCTTTGTACTTTAGAGTCAGAGACTCTCTAGACTGGAGAATTATGAAGCTCACTGACCAAGCACTGTGTTGAGAGACCATCGCCCACAGTGCAGCACTTCTCAGACATATGCTTTGCCACAGCATTCCAGAACAAGAGAATCACAAAACGTGCCCTTCCCTTTTCCTACTAAAAGAGAATCAGGCAGCTTAAAGCCTTAGTGCTTTCTTTCTTAACCTTTCCAATTTCAATACTTCCCATTATTTGAACACTTGAGTAGTGCACTTGCTTTGTATTAAACTTCTTTGTCTACATGTAAAACTGACATTTGTTATTGAGCAGGTATATCTCTTAAGATAGTTTGATGACTCAAAGGTTTGAAGATGCTGGGGAGAAGAGGGTTGGGGACAGTGGTGGGTTTTGTTGGTTATATGAAAGCTATACCATTTAAAGCTGATGCCAGCCAGAGACCTGATAGGGACTTATTAACTGTATTGAACATGTTTTCCATTTGCTTTTGACTCTGTATAGTTACGATGCCAGATTAGATTTATAGCAGCTTCAAGTTGTATTAAATGGTATTTTGCTTTATGTAATACTGTTATAAAATAAAAGTTTGTTTATTCTAAAAACTTGTCACTTCTCTTTTTATGAGCTTAAAAGAAATAAACCAGAATGCTATTTTTCCATCATAAAATCGAATATTTTGTGTAAAAAAAAAATACTCAGTAGCATTTTAAGAGTGGCTAAGCTCTGGGTTTTGTTTGTTTTAGTTTGTTGCTGCTGCCAGAATCAGTGATCTGAAATGGTGAAAGCACTGGGGAAAGATTCCTTGCACCTGGTTAAATGGTGCTCCTAGCTTGTTTGAATTCTGCAAGGGAGATCTGTCCTTCTTTTATTGGTGTGTTTTCAGGAAATTTTTGGCTGCACCATTTGAGCCTTGCTGTATGCTTCGTGTCCTACTTTATGTCCACTGTGTCTTCATGTAGCGGATGGAGCAGGCTTGCTCAGGGACTTCATCCAAGTGTAATTGAAGTGGCTTCCTGGGAAGCTCTCTCCAAGGCATACCACATTATGGGCTTAGTTGTCCTTTAAACATTATACAGAAAAATGGTCAACAGAGTACAATCTTTTTGAAATGTTACATAGAGTTTCTTTATGTAGTCATTTAAAATGAGCACAGGAAATATAATTTGCAAAGCTGTCTTCTTCGAGATCTGTTCCCACTAAATTATGTCTCAACTTGTGAAAGGCCTTTCTCACGTTCTCTATAATTGTTACAAAAACAACTCTCTGGAGAAGGCTCTCTCAGCTAGCCAAGCCTTGGGAATATTATGAAACCAAATGTGCTTCTTCTGTACATATACTTTCCATCATGAAGTTAGTATTATAGGGTTCATATTTAAAAATCATCTACTGATCTTCCTGTGATGGGGGTAAGAACTCTTTTCTTATGTACATGTATCTAATAATAGTACAGATAATGGAAAGCACTTCTACAGCACCTGTGGGCTGGGGAATGCAGTCAATGTGTGGGATCCGTTTTATTTTGTGGAGGAAGCATGAACAGGAGTCCGGGAGCAATCAGGAGCATGTTTGAGACATAGTGCCCAAAGAGCCACTTGGAACAGTGTTGATAATTACGCCTTGTAGTCAGTTAAGGCTATATTTTTAAATACTTTGTACTTCTGACAAAGGGATTCTCAGAATGTTTTCATCTCACCTATAAACTGGGCCAAATGGCAGAATTAAGTACAAAAGTAGATCCAAGAGTTTCAAGAAACAGATTTGAAGTTTTTATGTAGAAAGAATATCTTAAGGTCCTTAATCTTATTATAAATAAAAACCTTTAGTGTGTGTGCTAACTGCCACATTCACTTTTGGATCATTCATGCTAAGATATGCACAGGTAACTCAGAATCTGAAGGGGAAGGTTTATTTTGTCTTACTGGTTCGAGGGTTACAGTCCATCACAGTGAGGGAGGCGTGGGGAGCAGGTTGCAAGCAGGAATGTGTGGCAGTTATCTCATAATGCACAAATAAGCAGGGCATGCAGGGCAGGACCATGGACAGGTGTAACTTTCAAAACCCCACCCATAATGTTGCACTTCTGCCAACCAGGACCCACCTCCTCAAGGCTCTACCCATAGCTTCAGAATAGGGAGGGCTGAGTGCTCAACACATGATCCATAACATGGTAGAGCATGCTTTGAAATTTTTAATCTGGAATATGTCGAACATTTCCAAATCCTGACAGTTACAAGGTATGAATTCTGATTTCTAAGATTTATTTTGGCCAGAAATCATGAGATATAAAGGAAACTCTGTTCTTGACATTCCTGTTGCTTCTAGAAAGCACTGAAGTCCCTGGAAAGATTAACTTTTATCTTATGGTTAAGAGATTGCAAATAATGTTGTAGAGGATATGAATTGTCTAGTTTTCTGTCTTACCAACTAGGTTCAGGATGTGGAGTGGCCATGAACTTGTAGTCCATTTCTGGAAGCCTTTGAAGGATCATCTTGAGCAACCCCAAACTGCCAAGTTACAAATTAAATTAAAAACAAAGATGAAAAACTAGCATAGCTGAGTGTGGTGAATTGTGTCTATAATCCTGGCACTTTCTGGATGAAAAACTAGCATAGCTGAGTGTGGTGAATTGTGTCTATAATCCTGGCTGAGGCTGAGACAGGAAGATGAATTCGAAGCCATCCTGTCTAATTAGTGAGTCCTAAACCATCCCCCAAAAGCCTTCATACCTCTGTAAGAATCCTTAGTTATTTTCCTTGACTAATAAGAGCCATGTGAAGGTGCTTAAAATACCCACTGAAGTGTTTTATTGAAGGACTGGAGTTGGAGAAATGTTATCCCTACTGGATACTTCTTTTAGATAGTAGAAAGGAATATTAGCAATAGGTTAGAGGGGAACAGAAAAGAGATTGGGAGCTGCTTGGGGTTAGAACATTTGGGGGTGTGGGATAGATGTGGCTCCCTGGGGAAAATTCAGAGCATAAGTTGGGACTCACTTTGGAGGGTATAGGGAGACTATGGCCTGGGCTAGAACCTGGCAGAGGCAAGGATGACTGAATGAGATCTAAGCTTACATTTGAGCGTGCAGAGAGCAAATGTGGAGCCCTCCAGCTATTGACTATGCTCAGTAGGAGATTTGGTGAAGTTAGCAGGGCCTTTGAGTTGGTAATAAAACCCTTGGGACTTTCCTTGATAGACAGCTAATATGTCAGTGTTCTTAATAAAAACGTACACACATCTGGCTTTGTTAATTCTTTGGTCTTGTTTTCAGGAACACAAAGTCATCCTTTGGCAATGTGGTTATGCTTACTGTATACAATGTGTGTTCCAAGCTCATCTGTTACCACAGTAGTCAAGCTAGTGGTCAGGCATCCACCAAAGCCAAAGCTCAGATTCGGATGCTCCTGTTTCTGAAGAAAGAGGGAGCAAACTGTGACGACTGAGCCACAGATTTGGCTGGCAGCTGGCCAAGATGAGACTCTGCAGTGTCCTTTCACACCTCCTGTTGAAGATAGCATTTTTACACAAACTGCTTCCATATGGGGCTAAAAAGAGATCCTTCCCAGAACCAAAAGAATAGTGTTATTTCTTCCATATGGCATTAACACTTAGGAATTACCCAACTCTGAAAGACCCAACAGACATTCTCAATATACTTGAGTGCTATTAAAATAGAGAGATGAATGTCTTCAGTTGAAGTGAGAGTTAAATTTCTCAAGAAGTGCCACCAAAAAGCCCACTGGATGCCTGTGAAGAATTCCAGGATGGGGCTGAAAGGAAGAGTCAAAAAATAACAGGCCACAGTGAGACATTCTGACATTTGATCACTACAGTCTTATATGCTTATGTGACTGCAGCTGTTTCTTAAGTAACTCACTCAAAGCCCAATGGAGTCATGTGCAAAGGTTGGAATATAGCCAGGGTTAGGGTGTACTGAACCTTTTGTTGTTATTAGCTAGAAAAGTATGTCAGGCACAGTAGTGTCACCTTGAATTAAATGATTTCTCAATTATTAAATGCTTCTTTTTCAATCATCTGTGTTCTTTAGAGCCCACTGAATGATAAGAATTCTGCTAATAAAATGTTGACTTTATTTAGAAGTAGCTCCCTGATGTTTGGGTTTTACTAAAAAATCTTGAATTATTCTCCTGGGGGATTAGGTGAACATTTGCTTTCTCTTCCCTTCCCAGATACCACCTCTGGGAGAGAGCTATGCTGGTGAGTGACCCATACCTAATACTGAGACTCCACTTGTTTGTCACAGCCTGCCACTGAGATGATGTAAAGCAGTTGGGAAGAGGAGAGTCACAAAGGTCTTGAATGATGTCTGACACTGCCATGTATCAGAACGATTAGAGGTCCAAATGGAAGGACTCTTGTGTAGAGCATCCATGGGGCTTCCTTCAGGCACCATCTTTTGCTGCTTGTTTAATTTCTCTCAGGGTTTCGTTGCCCTTAAAGGGAAAATTATGTGAGTTTCTACAGAGTGATATGATGAGGTGTAGGAATTTTATTTTAAAAACATCTGCCCCTCCCCCCCAAGTCAGTAAAGTCACAATAAAAGATGATGTGCCTCATGCACTGAGCATATTAAAGAAATCTGAA